CGGCAGGTTGAAATTATTCCCCAGAAGTTGTATTCAACTCTTCAAGCATAAAAAGGCTTCTTTTAGTGATCCAGTGTACAGTAATATAGCCTTTTTTGTAGCAAAGAGATGCTTATAATTGCTTTGATTTTATTTTGAAATAAAGTAACATTTCTGGAATACTTCTGTAAAAGAAATAGGCAGCTTGAATTAATTCCATTTTCTTTGAAGCTTTCTTTGCCATTCTGAGGAAATCTTGCCTGCCCTGCACTTTTTTCGCCTGTAAGATCAACTTTAATGGGCCATGCAGGTATGGGCTACAAATCAACACAGGCCTAAAAATGATTGCAGGTGAGATCAGAATCAGAGATTGCACTATATCTTTCCTATCTTTTTCTTATTTTCCTTTCGGATATCAAATAAAAACAAGATTTTAAAGCTAGATATGGAGAGTCATCATCATGATTTTCAAATTATGTATTTATTGATTGAAAATAGTAATGGGTGTTCCCATTAATGGATATTATCTTTGGCATGAAGAAGCAACTTCCTATGTTATGTCATCGTACCTAAAGCTACATGCAAGCCATAAGGTGAAGGAGTCTAGGAAATGTTCTAAAAGTTTACATGTAGTTTAAAACAAAAACAGTGAAGTTGGTCTCTTCTTTTAACACAGGAAAGGAAATGTTTTTGATCTGAAACCAGAAATCAAAAGAAACATGTGTAATCAAAGTAATCAAACATTGGAAATAGGGAAAGAGTTTGGGATTGAGATATATTAGATCTACTTTAGAATGGATCACTCAATGGCTTTATAATCACTTTTCAAACAACATTCCTGACGTTAAAACCAGACCCACCCACCCCAAACTTTCCTTTCCTTTCCTCCTCCTCTTCTTCTTATAGTTTTCAAATGCAATAAACAGTGACATGCAATTGTGCCATTTAATCTGCCATAGATTCATGCTGCTAATTAAATGTTTTAATGGAAACCATTGTCTGTACGTAGTTCCTCAATCCAACAGCTGAAAATGGGTATGGTTTTCTCTCATGCTACATAAACATATATATCAATATTGAATATCTTTCTTTACATGCATAGAGAATAGATAAAGAGACATGAAAAAAATCAGAAAGTTGTAATTTATTAAAGTAATGGGTTGTATTTTGAAATTGCTTCCAAACCAAACAAACGGGGGAATGAAGAAGGGAGGGAATGAGTGGCTTTGGACCTTGACTATGCTTTTCTTGCTTAAGAAGATCTTGTAAGAACCTCTTTAACCAAAAGCTTAGAAGCCCATGTCTTGCCATGTGGCATCTCAACGGGCGATGCATACATATATATATTATAAAGAAGTGAGCCTCAAAAGAAGACTGCGGCTTGGCTTTGCCTGGCTGGCTGGCAGTCTTGGAGAAGAAAGAGATGGCATTGAGTTGTTTTGCTGTCCCTCTATCCCAAGCATTCTTTGCTTAAAGCTAAGGACAAAAACAGTGTGTGGTTAAAGTTAAAGCCTACACACATACTTGCCCATTATTCCAAAGCAGCAAATAGCAACTGACGCTGACAACCGACAATACCCAGTTAATATTTCTCTGGGTTAAAAGTTCTGCCATTCTGTGAGACTGTGTCTTAAAAAAGAAACAGTTCCCAAAAGATTAGTGACCGGTCACAGCCGGTTTAGTCAGTGACCAGATGTCTACTTGAAGTACAATAATCTCTGAACAGTAAGGGGGTAGGTTTCTTGAGTTGCAGGTTGTGGCCACTGCTCAGACAAATAAATGAGACAAATAAGCATCAACCAAAACAAAAGGTCCTTTTTTAAATAATAAAAAAAATTTTGGGGTTTCATCCATTTTGTTATATATCGTCGACAAGATTGAAGATCTTCCTATATTCCAATTTGGATTTATAACAGTATTGATTCCTTCACCAGCAGCATCGAAGTACCTCATCTCCTTCAGTCTGATTGGACCATGCATGCACTCTAAAACCCCCCCTTTGTTTCCCTAGAAAATACTACCTCTTAGTTTTTAACAAAATACGAAAAAATAGCCTAACAAGAAACAAAGCTTGAGAATTAGTACGATCCGTAGGTGAAGCTGCTCCTATATAGCATTCTGATTGAAATGATCTATGCAACTGGACGACAGGAACGTCATATACATGCATGCCTATTGTTTCTTCTTATTATTGGTAAATTGTTTGATCTTAATCCGAGCTATGAATGATTCCATACAGTTGTTTGTGAAGCTGAAATTAAACATTTTCAGTATAAAACCAATTTGCAACTATGATAATTGGATTGCAAGTGTTATAAATGTTTTGCTAGTCCTAGCCAAGCTATATATATATATATATATAACCTAGTAGTTTTGTAAAAGCCAAAACTTAAACTTAAGGTCAACCAATGATTCTAAACATGATGGGTTTGTCATCATTTTTTAATAAAAGGTCTTCATTGTCCTGAAGAATACTACATATTCCTATATATATCCTAAAAGCGAAGGATTTTTTTTATTACTTTGCTACTTATAACGTTTTGATTAAATACATCAAATCATTATTCAATTTATGAACAAACTTTAGTCAATATTTTCCAGCCAGTCTCCATTTCTTATCATTTAATTTCCAACCAATTTTCTAATTAAAATTCATGAGTTCAGTCGTGACTGGCAAAACTTACATATTAAGTTGGAATTAATAATATTAGAATGTTAGAACATCCACTTTTAATTTAAAATTTGTTGGTTGGGTATAATGAAAATGGAAAGGATCTTAGAAAGAGATTTGGAAATTAATTGATCAAATAGAAGTATAAAATTGAACCAATGTTGGCTTTTTTTTTTTTTAAAAAAAAGAAAAAGATATATATATATATATATATATAGAGAGGAGCATATATATTGGCCTTTTTCTGAGATGTCTCCACAAAATTAAAACAAATAAAAAACTGTTGAATAATAAATAAATAACAACAATGATGGGATGGTTCATCACTCCGCACTCATCAACAGTCAAAAACTACTAATGTGATGATGAAATGAAATCCCAGCCATCGGTGTCCTTTGTTGGAATTCACCCAATCATACGCCGCCACGTTCTCTACTTCGAATACACGTAAGAGATCCCAACATTTCTTGCATTAGAGGAACACATGGACCCCGCATGTCCTCTCCGTCCAGGACCCATATCTTCCCTCTAAACGATACCCCCATAACGGTCCGTCGCTCCTAATAATCGCATTAACACATTTTTCCGTTACTTAACGGCTGAAGGGACTGATGCCGTCAACCTTGATCCCTTCTCACTCAATGGAGTGTCTATATAAATACTCTGGGCCTCGATTTGTTTTCAACTCCTTGTCTTTTGTCTGAAAAATTCTTTTGCTATTACGGGCTTCATTTGCCAACACGTAAATCCCGGGGCTTCCGTATCCCAACTTTCCGTTTTGGGGAACGTGTCGGATTCTCGGCCGATATATCGCCGGCATTTTGTCCCGGCTACCCCGATATATTGTTGTCCGTTGTCCATTTTCAGTTTATCCAAGTAGCATCTTATCCTTCTCAAGATTTTTCAGCCGATATTCAAGCGAAATTCAAGATTTTAGCTTTCGTGTTTCTGTTTCCTTCTCTCTTAACGCTCTATGTTTTCAAAGTTTCAAGCTTCAAAAGAGGAGTAAAATTTCATCGTTCAATCCAAGACCTTCAAAGCTTTACTGGGTTATTAAAGTTGACCAGGGTAAGTGGGTGTTCAGGTTTTCCTTTGCCTTTCTCAGCAACCAAACGGAGCATTACTTTTCCTTTATGATTTATTTAATTGTATTGTGTTTTGCTATTAAAGCTATTGGTTCTGAGTTGGTGTTTATGTGAATGGAGCAGTGAAAAAAAAAACCGGAGTAGATTAGAGAGAGCACAAAGCAGAGAGCAGAGGAAATGAAATGAGAGACAGTAAATTAGAGATATAAAGAAAGACAGCTAAGAAAGGAGAAGCATTTGGGTTTGGGGTATTGGGGTAAGTCGTTTTCGAACAATAAATGATGCCAAATGGTAGTTTTCAAGCTTTCAACTGGAAACAAATCTCAATGTCACACTTGCTGCTTCTCTCGCAATATTCCTTGTCTCTTTGTCTATTCATTTCTCGACACTTGAAATAGGCCCATCATCTTCTTCGATAAAAATAGATTGGTCCATCCATCCATCCATCACCCCCCACATAAAAGAAAAGAAAACTACTCTACCGCTCCAGTGTTTCAATACACCATCTTCTTCTTTTTTGTTTTTTTTTTTTTCAATTCGTTAATTTTTAAATTGGTTTGTCAGAAACTTCGGCTTGCTTAAAACAAACCATAGTTTGTTTTGAATCTTTGTTGGTTACGTTAAAGCAAAGCATAGATTCCAAGCTTGGTCACTGTCGAATTAGGCTACTGTCCAATTGGGTATGTCCCCTTATGTTTTCCTTTTTTTTTCCTTCTATAATTGACTGCTTATTTTATAATCTATCAAGTACTTTTGTTTTGGTTTGGGGGGGTCTTCTCTGATCCCGAGCTCTTTTTCTTTTGCTTCTCTTTCCTTTTTGTCCTTGTCAAAAAACTCCATTCACAAGGGATGACGCTGATACAGCATTCACATTTCTTGGATTGTTTTCTTGTATGATTTGTTTTTGTTTTTTTCTTTGGTGCCAAGCATGCTGGAATTAGCTCCATTGTTTTTATCTGAATGGGCAAGTTTCTTCATTATTTTATTGCAACAAAATCTCCTAAGAACAGGATGTGAATGTCTCCCCACCCTGTACCACTGAATGAAGAACGTTCCATTGTCTGTTGAATTGACCGTCATTACCCTTAAAAAAACTGAACTCCTCATGGGTCTTATTGTAAATTCACAATCCAAAAGCAAAACAAAATTTTAGCGTTTGCAATTTGGATTAATTGATACAATGATTAACTTGCTCTAAGTCTAATTCTTTGTTTCGTGCAGGGATAAAAAGACAGCAGTAAAAGGAAATATCAAAAGCGAAGAGATAAAAAAAGAAAAAAATGTTTACGTGCATAGCGTGCACAAAGCAAATGGCGGAGGGAGGGGAAGAAATTGAAGGAGCGCGAGGAAGTGGCACGCCTAGTACAAAAGAAGCCGTCAAAAGCCTGACGACGCAGGTTCTACTTCTACCGCCCTTCCTTACTGCCTTATTTATTTCTTTCTCTCTTTTTTATCTCTTCAGTCTTTACTTCACCCTTGGGGGGGGGCTGGGCTCTCATTCAATCTCTGGCTTTGCTTTTTCATTGACCTTTTTACTTTGGCTTTGTTTGTGAAAACGGACAAAATCAAAACCCCAATTAGCCTCTCTGATCTCCTGGGGACCACCTTCCTCTTTGGACACTTTTGGCATCTCTCTTTCACGTTTATTTGTGCAGTCCTGCTTTTAATTTAATCTTAATCTAAGATACTATAAAGCTGTCGGGGTCTCAAGGATTTCTTCCCATGTAATGTGGTTTAGAATTTCATTTTTGCACCTCCTCAGATTTCCTCTCACGTGGGGTTTTAATGACTTAATTTTAGTTTTATATATTTAAGATTCTTTTTTTTTAGATGTACAAGAAAAAAGAGAAACCAAAAAAGGAAAGTCCTTTCTTTTCTGCTCTTCTGGGAGGCGCGTGCAGAAAAGAAAAGAAACATTAATGATCCAGCATGTGATCCTCAAAACTCAAAATAATACTATTAAATTGAACAGGAAGAGAACATATATTTCTGCATTTGGTACAAAATTTACAATTTCTTTGCTCAAATCTCAGCACCACTAAAGTGTTAAAAGACTGAGGTTGCCATGAAAACATGGGCAATGCCATAGCCCATAGCCAAAATTCCAAACCCTGCTAGAATCCAACGGTCAAGAGGGTTTCACTATGTGGCTAAAGTGGTAAACTTTTGAGTAAAATCGTGTGGTACAGTTTATATTCTAGTACACTGTTGTGAACGGGCTATGGCGCTGGGATTTGAGCCTAGGCCACTATAGGCTGTGTTATATGCTCGTAGATCTTTGCGTAACTTAGACCAACAAGAATCCCGCCACAGCCAATTCCCGTTAGCCGTTAGGCTTATTCAAAGATCTTACTAGATCTTCTTTCTTATGAGTTATGACCTTCTCTAGGACTAGGACTAGGAGTGTCTAAATAACAGGCATGTGCAGACGACAGTTTCCTTCGTATGGGCTACATAATCTCTATGTTTTACTTTAGAATTTGGGATGGGTAGAATTACTTCCAGGAATCCTGCGTAAAATCGTCCCTACTTCCACTAGTAAGAACTCTTCCTCACCTACTTTTTTTCTCCGTGAATAAGCATAACTAGTACTATCTAAAATTTCGACATTTGAGTGTTTTTGAGGTGGTGTTTAATTTTTTCTTTTGAGTCAGATGGATTTGAAAATAAAGTCAACCTAGTAAAATGTCTTATAAAATAGTACGATGGTGTTTTAGGACGAAATTGAGAGAAACAAAATTTCCAAGCAATAACAGTAAGTGGAAAAGACAGCTTATTTATTAAGAAGAGACACCCAAGTGTCCGGGCCTGACCCACCATTGAATTCTTGTCGATCCACTGTGTTTGAAAAGTATGGTTATGTGAAAAGAAAAGAAAATGTATGCATGCTAATTGGCGGTGAAATCAGATTGATTGACAGCTAAAACAGCCCTCAGGTGGTAAACAGAAAAGTACCTTTTTATCCTTTCAGACTGTGTTAGATCAACAGCCTTGACTGCAGTAGTTTTCCCATGATATTCACAATTGAGGGTCGGTTTTGGTGTATTTTCCGCCTTTTTCTTCTTTTCTTTTGGCGGGTGAGGTTGGGGTTTGATCTTTTCATGTCTGGGTCTACTGTGCATAAGAGCCGGGACTTGGAGTAAAATAGCTATGAAATGGACCATTTCAATGTTCTGGCTTTTCTTTATAATACTAGGTCTGTTATGCACCATAAGCTCTGCACTTTGAAAGCGATAATTCAGAACAATCTATGCATACCATCCAAATTACACTGTCAGCTGTTCCCCTTGAAATAGGGAAACATAGATTTCAAACGCAAATTATTTCTTGTTCTCAGATATTGACAAATACGGGGATAAATGATGTAATAAAAAAATGCTGCGTAAAGTGCTCCCGCTATGCACAAGTCCGAATAAGGGTTTGTTGTACGCAGTCTTTCTTTACATTTTTGCAAGAGGGTGTTTTCATCACTCGAGCCCGGTGCGTAAATGATGTAATGATAAAGATAATAATGCAAAAGTAAGTTGGAGAAGAAATCAGTTAATCACTTCAACTAGAAAGGATTTCGTTAGAACATTGAATATCTCTTAATGACAAAATTAATATGGTTTAATTTACAAGACAAAAATAGTCGTGGTTTAATTTTTAGCCTTCGTTGGATCATCAATTCGATTTTCTCTGAATCTCTCGATCACTGTTAGCTACATGAGCTTTGATGCTTGATAATGCATTTTTATTCTTGTCAAAACTGAATTCTCTGTATTTTCCGATATCAAGTCTATGCCATTGACTTGATCTTGTGGAAGTTAAGCATTTCAATGAACGTAGTTGTAGCTTTTTTTTGTGCTTTCCATTAGCTTAAATTCTGATAATGTGCAGATCAAGGATATGGCATTGAAATTTTCTGGTGCTTATAAGCAATGCAAGCCCTGCACGGGCTCCAGCAACTACAAGAAAGGACATCGACCTTATCCAGATTTTGATGCTGCTTCAGAAGGGGTTCCATACCCCTACATGGGAGGAAGCTCTAGCTCAACACCTGCATGGGACTTCACGAGTGCCAGTCATCATCCAGGAAGGTCAGACTCAAGATTTACTGGGGTATTCAGTGGTGACAGAACCCCTGGTGGTATGGAGTCGATCTCGGCCCAGGATCTGGTGTTAGAAGATGAGGATGAGCCCAAGGAATGGATGGCACAAGTGGAGCCTGGGGTTCATATAACTTTTGTTTCTCATCCTAATGGAGGAAATGATCTAAAACGAATTCGCTTCAGGTATGCCATTAACCATCCATAACAGCACCGGTTTTAGTTTCCAAGCCTATAAATAGACGTCACTCTCAGCCCTCATTTATCTGTCAAAAATCACGAGTTTAATGAGCTATTTAAGCATATTAGCTGGAACCTTTCCACTGATCTATGGACCAAGGATGGCCTCTGCTCCGCCACAATGTATCCACTTCGTTAGCTTATTGCATGGGCCACAATAACTCTGATAATTTGCTGATAATTATCTTTGATTGAGCTAGATTAGATATTTCTCTTTTTTTTTTTGGACAAGTAGATATTTCTCATCGTCTGCTGATTAGTCCTTTTTATCATATGCTGTGATTTAATATTTCATGCGATTGCTTGGGCCTAGCAAAAGTCCAATCAGCTTTGATTCTCAGACACGAAACAAAGTGAAGTTTTGTGCTACTCCAAATTACTCCAATTATTTAGAGTTTTTGTTGCTGGATACGGAAACTGACGTTACTTAGGCTTTGAATTTTGAAGCCGGGAGATGTTCAACAAGTGGCAAGCCCAGCGATGGTGGGGTGAGAATTATGATAGAATCATGGAGCTCTACAACGTACAGAGATTTAATCGACAGGCTCTACATACTCCCCCAAGGTCTGAGGATGAGGTAAGCCACCTTGGTCCTCGCTTTTAAGACATTTTGTTGCTTGATGAACTTGGTTTGCCCCTTTGTGAGTCCTTGAATTTATTGAGGCTACAGTCGCCAGAACCAGAATTAGTAGTCAAGAATCGTATGTTAAATTTGCATTATCTTCATTCTATCTTCTGCCATTGACACAAGACTTCGTTGTAAGAAAAGTTACTAACATGTCATAAAAGCATATTCTTTTCTGTTTGTTTCCTGACCTAGTTCTTCCAAACAGTTAATTCTCTCAGTACTTAAATAATTTTTATGGTAGATACATAATTTTATTACAAAGTTCAAATTAGTAACAGATAAATTGTACACTTCAGATACAAAGGGATTCTTCTTACTCAAGGATGGGATCGGCAATGGAGAGTCCTATGGCTCATTGGACGCCAAGAAACAACTATAAACCATATGGGGGTAAAGGCTATTTCCCACCAGACCATATGGACCAAGGTGGGGCCCAACATTACAATACTGGGCCAAGTGCTTTTGATGCTTCACGGACCACAACCTCCTCTAGAGATGAGCCTTCTGTTTCTGTCAGCAATGCCAGTGAAATGGAGGCAGAATGGGTTGAACTAGATGAGCCCGGGGTATATATTACCATCAGACAGTTGGCTGATGGAACCAGGGAACTCCGGCGTGTCAGATTCAGGTAATAAGATACAAGTAGTATTTTTTTTTTGAACATCTTTTCCGTTTAGACCTGAATATATATGTATCTTTGATGGTGAGTTTCTTATTGCTACAAGCTATAGCCAGTAGGAAACATCAGTGAACGTATTAATGATTCCAGCTTCATTAAGATGGGTCTGATGTTTTGCATTCTTATGTTGAGCAGCCGCGAAAGATTCGGAGAAGTAAATGCGAAGCAGTGGTGGGAGGAGAACAGAGAAAGGATACAAGCACAATACCTTTAAATTAATAATAATTATACACGAACAAATGGTAGCAGCGGTGGATCTAAATTGCAGTTGGAAGTTCGCTTCAATTTTGTTTTAAAACATGTAGTAGTAGTGATAAGAATCAATCCACTATAGTGAAGTTGTTTCATTACAGCTACAGGTATATGGGCTCTGTCACCTCTAGTGATGATGGAAACACTGAACTAACAAATGTCATTCAACTAAACAAACTAATCATGTCATTCACGGTGACAATCCGTTGAGGTTTTGTTTCGCAGCTGCTGGGACTCCAAACAAGCCCCTTCTATTTTTGGTCTGCCAATTTTTAGGGGTTCCTTTTACCACCTTAAAAGACCTTTCGGTCTTTAAGGTTTTTATATATTGCGTTATGTGCGTTTTTTTTTCTTTTTTAATACAAACTTGATACTTCGAAGAAATGAAATTGAATCATTTGTTGTTATGTTATGACAGCTGTACTTTATGTTTGGATGCGGTGCTGTCTTTTTTTATTTTATTTAATGAGAATTAATGGACATAACACGGTGGAAATTAAGTAAACTACACACTACGGCCGCAACAGCCACTAGAGTATTAGCCAATTGTTTGGAGGCGAGACTTTTCACGAAGAACTGCTGCTGCTGCTGCCGCTGCTTGTCTTCTTTACAATTAGCTCTTTGAACATTAAATATTTGTTGTATTTCTCTTCGCAAGTTTCTAGTACTAGTATATATAGATAAAAGAATGCCACTAATGCCATCCTTATATTTTAACTAACGAGAAGAGCTGATTTGCCCGTCATATAAATTATTTTTAAAAAATTGAGCATATTCTAATCCATCATTCAATGCCGAACTCTACGGTGCTGAAAAGATTTTAAAAACGTAGAAACTAGGCCAAGCATTCTGTGGGCGTTGAAATTCTGTAACAGTGTCCTCCCTTTAGTTTCTCCTACGTTTCCAACAGACCAAAGTCTTCCTCCAAACTAACCCCCTCCTTTCTGTTAAATGGTTTATTTATTATTAATAAATATAAAAAAATGAAGCATCAAGTACAATAACATCTTAGACTTCTACATCATTTATTTTTTCTTCATCGGCTACTTTGAATGGTGATGCTAGATTTACGCGATGAAATAAATCCACCCACACAAAACATTATCGTGCACGTAGATATATTGGATCAATTCGCAACGACGACGGGTAGATGTATCCTTTTTAACACATCTTCCAATTATATCAACTAGTGTCCTTGAGATATGAACATGGGGGTATAAGGAAATTTCACCCGCTAAAATTCGCTCCAATCATGTTTAAAATCAAGATATTGAAAGGAAAAAGAATAAAACAATCATTCACCAACTCACACTTCTATTATCAAGTAACGGTCAATACGAAATAAAAAACAAACCAGTCTTTTAGTTGTTAACAGAAAACAAAGTATTATATTATGGTTATTGCTAGGAAACACTCAAACAGGACAGACATACCAAAGCACTCATTTTGATTTTTGGACTCCTTGATTCCATATACAATGGGAATGCATTAATTATATTATTAAAAAACCATCAGGATGGGCCATATCATCCCGCTACTTTTCTGGTAAAACTTCTACCAGACTGTATCTGTTGGGTTGGTCTAAGAAACATGTCATTAGATTCCGCAGTCCATTGTACCCCAGCCTTCATTGGTGGCGGCCTTAACTGCCCAACATACTGCCTGCGATTTCCAATTGTCACGTTTGCCAACTTCTCCGCTACGTCCGAAGCACCACGACCATTTCTATCCTTGTTGATTGATGCTGCTCGACCAAAATTTATTTTCAAGTCAATCGCATAAGACATCATACAAGACTAATGCAAAAATAGGCTCTTGAGAACTTTCCATGTTAATTGCGATCATCTTCAACAACCAAAATCTTAACTATTTCCATTCATAGAACAAAAACAGGTAAATTTTAAACTTATATATAGGTTTCATTTTCCCTTTTTTCCATGGACTGGTAAAACTTATATAAATAGTCATGAGCTCATGATATGGTTGAATCTAGAACTTTAAATAGCAAAAAATACTTACTTGGACTCTTTCTTCCTGGTGGCCGATACCTTGGTTGTTTGGCAGAGTTTTTCAAGGATTTATTATTCTTATTTAGATCCTTTAGGCAGAGTAATGAAAAAGAGCATATTTAGAAGCAATGTAAAAAAATACCACTAGAGAAGCAGAATCACTAAGACACATTAAATAACCAATACCTGCTTAACCATCTCCAACTTGCGTTGCACACCTGTAAGAATTAATGATAATTAGAGAACCCATCATATTAGATCTTCTAAGAAGTAAACAGCACTTGGAGTTGCAATTTGGAAAAAATAATGAGACAAGGATAAAACTATATACAGCTGCATAAAAATGCATTACTGCCAATTTAATTACTGATTCCGTCACTAAACAGAGACTCAAATTTTTAATACAAAAGTGAAAGTACGTCTATCATAGTTTGCTCATGGACTTAGCAAGATCGCTTAATCATATTCATAATGTGCAAGAAAAATCATTCCAGAGATGATAACACTACATTAACACTCAATCAAAAGTGAAAGATCATGCACTCTACATCCAATAACAAATCAAAAGTGAAAGATCATGCACTCTACATCCAATAACATTAGTAAACTATTTCCACATTATTACATATTCTACAATCCATCACCTGTGCCCAAAGATGCATTTGATTTCAGAGCAGAAAGATTGCCAGTCAGCTTTGCATTAGGTAGAACCCCAGAATACCTCCTAGCTGATTGCTGTTCCAATGTTCCTCTTACCCCAACTACAAGCACGCAAATTAGAGATTAGCCATAAATTAAACCTAAAAACATAAACCCTCCAAAAAAAAGGGGACAAAAATGGCAGAGTTTTGAACAAACCAGAAGGAGGGGTTCTACAAACAGCTGCTCCTGGACGAAGAGAGGGTGGAACATAAAAACAACTCTGCACATCATAAGAAATTCAATAAGCAGGGCACTTCCTACAACATAAATGTCATTTTGACCATATAAAAGAACAACCCAAAACATTATTAAGGAACACACATAATTATAAAAAAAATACTACCTGAAAGAACGGATGCTGAAGGGCCTCGGCAGCAGTTGGCCTTTTGCAAGGATCCCATGAACAGAGAGACTAATGACAACCAGCAAAGCAAATATCAATTTGTTTTCTAACAATCCAAATAAAAAATTTAATGGTAAGAGTCACATAACAGAAAGCTCTTCCCACTGCAGGGTGAAAGGGAATAAAAATAAACAAAGTCCACAGGAATGCACTTAACTGTGATAAGGTTGATTGCATCCTCAGTTGCTGATGGTATCAACACAGACAGATGCACACCAGCGAACTTCAATGTTCAATAACAGAAAGGTTGAAAAAAATATTAGATTCCATTCACTCATAAGATAATCGACAGCAACTGCACGTTGCTAAAATAACTTGGAAGTCATACTACAAAGCTAATGACTGAGTGAGAGCACAGTTGAGATAAAGAAAGACCTGTGGGGGGAATTGGTAGTTTATAGTTCTTGCAAGATTAAGACCATCAGGCCATGAATCCTTAGTTGGAGTCCCTATTACACCACAAATTTTGTAGATTTCATCTGCTTCACTGCATACATGATAATATTAAGGGTTAGCATCAATCCTGTGAATAACCAGGCAATTACCTGTTGTTCCATAAATTAGAAAAGATAATTATATATAATCTAATGCCTATCTAAAACGCACGATCTTTAGGAGAAACTTCACATTACAAAATAATAATAAAAGAAAATAACACCTGGTGCCAGGAAAAAGAGGATGTAAGGTGAACAACTCAGCCATGATTGCACCCATTGCCCACATATCTGTACTCAAGGAGAAAAAGCATAATTAAAAGGGCTGTGACCACTTCTATCCTTAAGTGAATCACTATTGATTACACTGAAAACTTACCAACTTTCAAAGTATATAGGTATGATTGAAGAAGAACTTCAGGGGCACGATACCTAAAATAGAATGAAGTCAAAACTTAGATATTAGTCATGACTATAAAAAAGGGTTAGAAAAAAAACTAAATTCTCAATGTATCAAACTTACCACCGTGTTGAGACATACTCCGTATATGGTGGATGTGAACTTATTTCTCGTGCAAGACCAAAATCAGCTATTTTGATTATATCTTTAGTAACCAACAAATTCTCTAGAGGAAAACAGAAGTTAGTTACAGAATATTCCTTTTGAGTATACGTAACAAAATAAACATGAATGTTATAGACAAAAATTAAACACATACCTGGCTTTAGGTCACGATGAAAATATCCGCGCTGGTGCATATATGCAAGACCTTGAAAGACTTGGAAGCACCAGTTTCTGATTTCAACTTCTGAAAAAAGCTTTTCCCTATGTTTCATAAGTTGGTAAAGGTTGAATTCCTGGAACAATTTCACGTTGCCGCAAAATAATTAAACCCATAATGATTAAAACCAAGTTATAAATAGAACACACATAGAAGTAGATTACTTACCATATATTCAAACACAAAGTATAGAATGTCATTTTCCCTGATGACCTCCTTAAGCTTCACAATATTGGGATGATTCATTCTCCGCAGTGACTGTCAAGCGAGGATTATCATGCATATGAAATAAATACTAGGAGCAAATCCAGAAAAAATCAACTCCTGTTACCTTGACTTCTCTTAGATTCACACACTCTTCCCATGAGTAATATTTCTTCTTCATTTTCTTAATTGCAACCTTCAAAACAGGTAATATTTATTTGAAAAGTACTTATCAATATCAACATATTAAAAGTAACAAGTTCGTACAATTTCAAATAAATAAAATCCCAGGAATACTAACAACTTCACCAGACAGCTTATTAATAGCTCGCCACACGCTACCAAACGTTCCATCACCAACTTCCTTAATTAACTTGTACCTAATATCATCCAAAACATTGATAAGCAAAAATTACCATGCAGAAAAAAAAATTGTCTAGTATATCCCAAATTAAATAACTTACCTCTCCATTTTCTCACGGAACAAAAAGTTGCCCTTTCTTTATTCAAGAAATGTATGAGAACCAACGATAGATATGTGACATTTATCTTCAGTAGAAGACTGCTTATATTAAAAACTATCAAACATAAACAAACTGCCTTGCTGGAAAGCTAAATCCACCATTAATTTCCTCTGGCAACATGCAAAAACATAAAACCAGAATTTTTAAGTTGGACGGGCTTCACAGCCTTATTTGGTACTAATCCCACAGCTTCAAGACGAAAACAGGGTACCAACAGATGGAACAGATGAGCTCCACAAAACATACTGAAACAAACTGAACAGAATAATTGCTCCAGCCAACAGGAAGGATCCCAAGCTCAAGATACACTAGGTTCACAAGTTTAATTGCACTTAACAATAGAAACTGTTGCAAAATGCTAAGTAAACCAACATCTCATCACCAACCAGCACCCATCAAGAGCAACAACAGAAAATTAACTAAGGACTAGAGCTGATAATGCTTAGCAAGCAACTTTCAACTTTCTACAGCGTGAGTTAAGCCCTGTGATAATTGAAGAGGAAAAAAAAATATGACAAAGGTTAAAATACAAACAAATAGCTAACAGATGTGGGAAAAGATAATTATGTAAATAAATTGTGTACCTGGAAGGCGTTTTTCCAAAATCTTTGACTGGATTCTGTATCAGAAATGCACTGCCAAGAAAAATATTTAGAACCTACCTATATGATTTTAGTCAAATATTCAAGAAAAAATTGCTTACTTGCAGAAGTGTGCTAATGATTCAACACCTATCTCAGAAAAAACTTGCATTACGCCTTCTGTGTTGAGTATTAAAAAGAGACTGGGCACTAAGTGCAATTGACAAAGGAAACCAAAAGAAAATCTCCATGGACGAGAAACCGCCAGTCGAGTACTTCTTGGAATGAAAACACCCGGAAAAGGTAGCAATTTGACCAGAAACACACTTGTTCCATGTCTTGAAAAGGAAACTAAATCCCTTTAAATCCAAGTCCGGTGCAATCTAACATTAAAACAACATCAATCGAAATTTGAGTTAAGATGGACTTACACGTTCACAAAACCTAATATGATACACAAAACTTCTATTGGAAATAGGAAAATAGAACAAGGTCATGATATAAATGATGAACAATCTTAAACTAAACTTATCGCTGCTTGTCTACAAAGGGAACATCATTACTAGAAAAGAAGACCCACTAATTAAAGCATATCACAAGCAACAATGAAAAAAAAAGTGGAAAAATATTCATCTTAGAAGGCAAATTCTCGAGAAAAGAGCCGAGGGTAGCAAATTCAAGCAATATTCAATCAAAAATTCTCAACTGGCAGCGACTCGTCAGATCACGACAAAATCAAAGCCAATTCTACATAACAACAACCCTATTCGTCGATTAGAAACCAAACAAATACGAAACCCTGTGAGACGAACATCACGAAACAGAAATATCAACGAATCAATTCAGGAAAGGGTCAATAAATCCAAAGAAATTTTCTAATAAATCAAACACGCAATCCCTAATCGATTAAATCACAAAAACAATATGAATCCAATCGAATCCGTGATTACGAAACAGGCGTCAAACAAAAATAACCAAAAATAGATCCAACGAAAATACTCCAATCTAATCGTAAACACGGGAAAAAAAAAAAAGAAAGAGATGAGAACAGATCAAACCTAGGTAAAAGAGTCGAGAGAGATACCAGAAAACCAAACGGCATCGGCACCGTCGCCAAGGACGGGAAGAGTCGGAATCCAGAGCTTCGCTATTTCTCTCTCTCTCTCTCTCAATCTTCCAAAGAAGCCAAAATAAGTATTTAACCTTCTGTGCGTGTTTCGAATTTAAAGCGAAATATCTAATCTTCTAAATATTGGTGTCCGTTGGGTCGGGGGAGCTTCTGTCGTGTGAACCAAGAAAACGCTTAATTTTTGGTATTTTATTTTGTTTTATTTATTTATAAATACCCGTAATCTGTTGTCGGTATTTCTTTATTTATAGTCGCCCCATTGGCCGATTCCCTTATTTCCTCACCCCGTTCGTTCACTTTTTTCTTCTCTACGCTACGCCCTACTCTTTTAAGCTATGCTCGTACGATGGATGGTCGGATGTCCTCATCATTTGTCATCTCGTTTGGTTTGTGATTGGGATAACCAAATTGCACGTGGCCTACGTATATTCCGTTTCTTTCCGATCAAAGGGACCAATCTATAATAATTAGACAAAGTAAAATTTTTAATTACAACATATAATATGTTTATTTGATTTTTTTGGTAGCTGGTTTCAAGGTACTCCCTAATCAATTTTAAACCTAAAATCTCATAATATTAAAAAAAAAAAAAACTATAGCCCTCAAGTAAAGCATTTGCATCAAAATCGAGTTATATTTTTTGTTTTAAATAAAATAATTTTAATTTTCATTCTTCAAAAATATTCAATTCCCTATATGCAACTAAAAATTGTATTGTTGTATTTAAAATTATAAAAAAAATTTAACTATGATTATTCAATTTTAAAAAAAATAGTACAAGAAAAAAAAAAATACTGCGCCTAAAGATGGAAAAAAGTCGTAGTTTAAGTTTGGTGGGAGGCAGCATATTATAACTTTTTTGAGAATTTATTAAATTTCTTGAAAAAAAAAAAAAAAAAGAATATTCGGTGAGTGTTGCTGAGGCGTTCAGATTTGTTCATTGGCAGGCGCCACCTGTTTAAACAAGGATCCCAGGTGTACCACACACCAAAGGTCGCCCTCACACTCTTCCTGTACATTTCCAAACTCACTTTTGCCGGCTCTTCGATTAGGTGAAATTTAAGATTTTTGAAAGAAAGTGTAATTTTTGTAAAAGCGTGATACTTGAGAATTTTTTTTATTTTTAGAATATTTTGTGTTTAAATTTTTTTTTGGTTAGAAAAAAATTATATATATTAATTTTTATATCATTATTATAATTTTTTTGATATATGATAATAATTTTTTATTTTATTTTATTAATAATATATATTTAAATGATAAATGATGTTTTTAGTAATAAAAATAAATATTTTATTTGATTATTATTTTTATTTATTTATAAAATATCATCAATTGAGATATTTGATTTTTTTTAGTAACAAAAATGATAGAAATAATTGTTAAAAAAAATCAATTACTACATTTATCACTTTTTTTATATCATGAAAAAATTTAAAAAATTTTCTTTAATTTATTTATAAAATAATCATTTAAAACGTTTTTATGCAAAAATATTTTAAATAATATTTTTATTTTTTAATATTATGAATCATTTAATAGTTATCTTTTAATCTATAAAAAAATTATTTAAGATATTTTTATATACAAAATATCTTAAATAATATTTTTATATAAATATAAAATGATTATTTTAAATAGTCTTATTACACGAATTATTTAAAGTATTTTTTTTAAATATCGTAATTAAATTTTTTATAAAAATATTAACAGTAAACTTTAAATCTTAAAATATATAAAAATATTTAAAATATTTTTTTATAAATTATTCATTTATAATTTTATAAAAAATTTATTTAAAGCGTATCAAAAAAATGGTACGATGTAAAACAGGACTCTGCCAAATACGTCTTAACCAATCTAATAAATATTTCTAAAGTACCGCAGATCCCTTTCTTCTTGTTAGCCACGGAGCTCTAAGAAACTTGACGTCATTAGTCTGCTCTCTTTTGAAGTTTGAGTGAGTTGTCTAATGTCCAGAGGTCTCACGAGGTACTCAGAAGCTAAGTTGTATTCCCCTTATCTTGCTTCCATCTCACAGCTAAGGATGGATTGTGTATGAGCAGGCGGTTAACCCCGACACCCCTTTAGAGTCTAGTCTATGGCTTATTATTACATGGAGGATGGATTGTGTATGAGCAGGCGGTCAACCCCGACATCCCTTTCGAGTCTAGTCTGTGGCTTATTATTACATTGAGTTTTCTACGTACAAACGTCTTCAACAAAAATTTTATAAAAATATTAATCTTAGACTCTAAATCTTAAAATATAAAATAATTATTTAAAACGTTTTTTATTAAAAAAATCATAAATAATCAATTTATAAAATAATAAAAAAAATATTTAAGATTTTTTATGCAAAATGTCTTAATATAATATAAAAAAATATTTTTTTATACAAAAACCTATAATTACATTTCAATAATTTTCAAACATATTTTTTAAAAGGTTAACAATTATTTCATAATTTTTTATTTAAATCAAATTTGAAAATAAAATAATTTTTTCTTTCAAAATATTAAAATATTACAGAAAAAATAAGTTTATAATTTCGATATTTTTGGTATTATTAAAAATTTAACTTTTTTTTTGTAAATAGATTTTTGGTATTATAATATAAAAAATATTTTTTTATAAAAAAATATTTTTTTATATAAAAACCTATAATTGTGTTTCAATAACTTTCAGACATATTTTTTAAAAGGTTAATGATTATTTCATAATTTTTTATTTAAATTAAATTTAAAAATAAAGTAATTTTTTCTTTCATAATCTTAGAATATTACAGAAAGAGATAAGTTTATGATTTCAAAAATTTTGATATTATTAAAGATCTGATTTTTTTTTTCGTAATCAAATTATCTTAAACCAAACATAAAAATCAAATATCCACCGTCAAAATTAAAAAAAAAAATTTAAATTCTTCGAATCAAACTCTATCTTACACTTTCTGCCCAACCAATCCAAAACTTTTAACATATCTATTATTATTTTAATAATTAACTTGCAAGAAACTTGTTGAGATTTATTTTATATCATTTTTTGTCTTTAAATTATTAATTTATTATCAAAATACTTTTTAAACTTTTTTGAAGTGATTGATATAAGGTTAATATCAATCATGAAATATAACATAAACATAATACCCTAAAATTTTCAAAATATAGTAAAAATTTGCATATCAATGACCTGAAAATTAATAACAAGAGAAGTTAAGCAATAAGTCTAAGATATTAGGGAAACAAAACAAAAGAAAAGACGATATATTACGATCGAGTCTTTAATTTCTCCATCGGGATTTATAAAATCCAATACTTAGTAGTTGAGGATTAAGATAGATATGAGTCTTATAGTAAAAGACGCAAACAATGAGGAATTGGTTCCATTGTCTTCCATTGTCGGGGGTTAAAGATACAAATGGATCACTGCATCATGTTTCTCCAGTTGTCCAAATTGACTTGGCTCAGACGGACCTCTTGGGGAAGAAGATGATACTTGATGTCAAGGTTTTCAAAGATTTTCTTCAGCTCAAGAATGAGCTCTGAGATCCGATTGTTGCGTTCTCCATAATTCTGATGGTTGATTGTGTGTTGGACGCATAAACTCATTTTCAGTTTGTTCAAGTTCTCTATTTCTTTCACTATCACTGCATGCTTTGGGTTCCAATACTTGACCTTGCTCTCTATATATCTGCATTAATTCACCACCCATAAATTAAGTTAATAATTATTTGTAATTGAATTTTTACTACTTTTAGTTTGAAGAAATTTAACTTACCCTTGGATTGTCTTCTTGAGTGCCATGATCGTCTCCATGGACGTAGAAATGTCAATTTGGAAATCTACGGTATCACACATTTCTGGACTTCTGTAGAAGTTGCTAATTGGCTTTGAGAGCAGGACCCAATTCGGATAATAAATTTTCTCCATATCATATCGAAGGAACACAGTAGTCAATATGTTCATTTCCTCCACAATCATCTATATATATATAATCATCCATGGAAGCATCCATGCATGCGCAAACACAAACGCATCAAATTAAATTAAGAAGTTCTCATATGCATGTTGTGATCATACGGAAGATTTTGGGATCTTAACAAATGTATGTATTGAAGAAACATGTATGTTTGTGCATACCTGAACACCGTCAACGACACAGCGATCGCCTATATCGAAAGGATGCATGATGAAAATGAAGACAATGGACTCGAATACCATTTTGCAGGTGTTTTGGAACATGACCCCCGCAACAACTAGCTGGGTTAACACAAGAAAGACTATCCTATATGTTGCAACTTCCATTACCAAGAGGGACACCACAATTATGATTACGATCACTACAGCACTTGCTACCTTGTGGAGTTGTTGCACAGCTGTTTTGGTATCATTCAGTGAATGTGCTAGAAATTTTCGTTCAAAATAAGCTCGAACCTGGACATTAATGCAGACAAAAAAAAATTACATTAATTTTTAAGTAGAAAAAGCACCCTGATCAATAGGCAAGAAGAAGGCAACTTACCACCCAATTTCTAAACGACGATTTTGAAATTCTTCCAGTCTCGAGAGCTCCTTCAAATAGTGGGAATATAGTGTGAATTTCAACCCTCTTTAGAAATCTCATTAGATCTTCTTCTTCAATATACCTCCAAGAAGTTTACAATAAAATTTGCATTTACACTTAATGTTGAGACTTAAAGGTTAATGCGCATATAATAAGAATATATGCATGCATATTCTAGTGCAATTTTAAGTCAATAAATTGAGTAATGTGGGTGAACTGTACGGAGTTCGGACCATATACATTGCCTCCAGCTATCTAGGCTGGCTGTGTGAATTCAGCTGGAGATGCGGACCATGATCAATTGTTGGTGGCCTAGAGTGCAGAGTCTGCAGTAGTCCACGCTTAAAACTCGCCAACTGTGGTGCACAAAGAAAGTTGGTTGACTCAATTTCAAGGTACGAACAGATAACTCTCGTGCATTAATTCATTCCATCATCAACCTTTTTGAAGTCGAACGCATGCGCTATATATGAGATACGGACCGTCAGATATTACATGTGTACGTATTAGGACCACAAAAAGAAGCACTGAACTGAAATGAGAACGAGTGCCTTCGTCGTAACTCAATTTGGCTGTGTTTATACATTCGAATTAAAGGACAACCTGGCAACATTTTTGTTCATTATGGGTGCTTTTGGTTTTGGGGCCACTTGTGCAACAATAACAGCACACTTATCAATTCAATTGGGTAATACTCGTCATCTTCGAATGAAAAAATATTGAATTTAAATTTTATCTGTAATTTTTTATTAGAATTATTTTAAATATATGATTTATAATTATTTATTTTAAATTATCAAATATGATATAATTTATACTATTTACTTCTAAGTCTTTCTTATAAATAAAACAGCACACTCAATTTTTTCTTAAAAAAAATGAAAAACGAAGACCACGTGCAAAAACATACGAAGGCGAGAGAGCAAGATTCGAGGATTTCAGCTAGAATTTGGTTTATTTAAGGTTCTTGTTCAATTATTTATTGAATTAATTGGCATGCCCTAATATATAGCCTAATTATACCCTGGTTCTTTTTAAGTTGATGTTTGTTTTCAAAGATGCTCTCATCTTATCTTCTCTATAAGCTGTGTTTAATTAAAAAACTCCAAGTTAGGGCAGTTACCAGTGAATAGAACTAATTAATGATGAACTGAATTCAATAATGAGATTCTTCATGCAAATTAAAGAACTATGTATATGCATGCAATGCAATGCAAGAAAAGAAGGATGAGGTAGGGTATTACTTTGCACCCGGCTTAGCCACGTTCTTGAAGATCCTTTGGGCTGTGTTTCTAGCCTCCCATTCACTAGTAATCTCTGACTCTGCCTTTCCAAAATCGTCAACGGTCTTTGAAATAGTCGATAATCCAGAAGACATCACGTAGCTTACCAGCCTCTTCACGCTCCAAGCAGAGGCTGGCCTCTCCAAGCTCAGCTTCCTTAGCTTCTCCATGTCAATTTTCCTGGATCCAAACTTCTTCGATTTGTAAATATTTTTCGCTTCCTTCCAGTACTTTCCCTGCTTCCAGTTTGATGGCAATGACTTGGAATCACTTAGGTTATGAAACTGTTCGTGCATTTGCTCGTCCATGGGGGGACCTGAGAGCGTATCCAAGATGTAGTGGTGGAATACACTTTCCTTCATTCGATCAAAGTACGTTGCAACATGGAAAGATGAAGCCAGCATTTTGACCAACACGATCTTGATAAGCCAAATAATTGCACCAAGCAATACAGCTACTAATGCTTGAAAAACCTTTTTGAGCATCTTGTTTTGTTTGTGAACTTCGGCATCGAACATGAAGGTGTACGCAAAAAGGACAAGGCCTAACCAGATGCAATTTTGGATACTCTTCCTTAGCCCATAGACAAAGTAGAGCACTTTCTCTCTAAGCATGAAGTTACGTTCAATTGAAAAGACTGCAAAAGCAATCAACCATCCCGAAACTAGGCGGCCGCAGAAGGTCACCAACACCATTAGGCACCATTTCCAGATCTCAAGCCCCCACGTACTCTTTATCTTGAGTGACTCTATTGTGAGAGAACAGATCAAGCACGTCATTATAACGAAAAACATAACCCATTCAGTCAAGCGTCTCCAGTTCAACTTTTTCTTCTTCTTTTGATGTTGTTTTCCCCCCTTTTCTCCACCATCTTCATCAAACTCATCGTTCCACTCATCATCTTCATCATCATCATCATCATCTGTAGAAGATTGGTGGATGTCGTCAAGCAAAGGTTCAAATTCGTTGGGCTCAGGGAACTTTTTCCGGGCATTGAGTGGATAGTTATACTCGAGAAATCGAGCTTTGGGTTTAGAGAAGCTGAGGCGATGTAGAGTTTTTGCTCCCGTAGGAATTTGGAGCTTTGGTTGTGCTGTAGCCTGGTCCTTGAGCTCGGTTTCCATTGATGGACTTGTTGGGTTTCTTTGATCCATGATGAGAATCACTTGGTCAGGCTTTGCCTTTTCCATCTCCGGTTTAGTGCAGCTCTATAGATTGACCTAACTCCTCTTTCTCTTTATATATAGTAACATTGTAGCCTTTGAAGAACTAGTACTAAATAATTTATACTGGTTCATCTCATTCCTCTAGCTTCATTCTCATTGGTCAAGCCATACAAGAGTATGGCTGCGACGCACTATGACTAGTGTGGTTAAAAGCAATGGAGTTGAAAGAGGTGGATTGCACCAGAATTATGAGTAGAACAATGGGTGTTGTCATCATCAACTAATAAAAGATCAAAAGACTAATAATTGGAGTAAACTAATATATACACGTGTTATAATTTAAACACTATATAAAAGTTTTTTTTTTTAATTAGGAATACTAGTAGTATATATATTATAAAAGTTAATTCTCCATTTTTATGACTAAACAGTATTTTTTAGCATCGATGTTATGTCACTCAACAGATCGTAGAACGGTGGTTTCTGTGGGCATTAGAAATCAAGAAAAATTTAGAAACAGAAAAAAAGTGTAAAAATGACAGAAGTGTGGTGAATTTCTCATGATTTTGCAAGCGAAAGGGATATCACAGAATCGACGTTGACTTCTGATTTGGACGGGTACCAAAAGGCTGCGAAAAAAAAAGTTCAGGAAAAAGTCCAAACAGTTTTATAGCAAAGCAAAACCAATTTTCACGATAGTGAAAATGAAAATGCATGCACAAACAAATTGCACCGAGTGAAAAGAAATTAATAATTCAGTATACATGCAACAAAAAAAATTAATTTATTAGTATTGGTTAAAAATTTGTACCAAAGATATATATGCTTGAAAATCCAAGATAATCCCATCGCTCTGATACTTTTGCTGTTTCATAGTCTTGTCATGATTGTGATCCAATTCAATGACTTGTCAAAGATAGTGGTGCCAGCAATAAGTTCCATAGGCTACAAAAGCCTGTAAAAGCTTGAAGAGCAATTGATGGTCCATGGGATCAAACATTTATGAAACAACGGAGTACGGTGAGCCCACTTTCTAAAAAAGCCTGCCACAAAACCACCGAAATCCTGAGGTGGCGTCGCACGTCAGCATGAAAACTTTCATCGTCCGTTTCTCGGATTGCTCATTCGAAACAAGAAAGCAGAATGGATTTACACTAGTCGAATTAATCTGCATAAGTGAAGAAGAGATTCCTGGTTCACCAACTTTATTTCCCGAACAATGGCCTTGGGGAGGTTTTTAATCAGCAAACCGAGCCCACTCATGGGCTTTTGATTTTGGGGAAGGTAGCGGGGCCTTCTTCCCGTTTTCTTTGGGCTTCATTTCCACAAAGTTAAAAAAGTAGTAAATTTTCGGAAAGCAAAATATATAATTTTCATTGGACTTATAAAATCACAACTGGCGGACATCCACTGATTATCACAGTTTGACAACATATAGAAGGCAAAAAAGATGGCCGGAAAGGGATAAAAAATGAAGACAGTATATCAGGATTGTGTATATTTAGATGCCTTGCAAAGAATATATCTATAAATTAACAAAATCATATTTATTGGGAGGCTAATTCTTCAATCGACGAATATGAATTTAGAGATTCTTGATTTCTATGCATATCTAATCTCTCTGTATGAGGTATGGAACTTTCCTGCTTTCAGCTCCTACTCTTGCAACAATAATTATACTTAACCAGACGAGATCTGTCACCTTGACTTTGGATCACTATTCATCATCAACTGCTGCTAGAGGAATACCAGAGTTTTTTCTGGCATACTAATATCTTCTCCTTTTCCACACCATATTCAGTGTCTTCTTTGCGGCAGCCCCACCTCAATCCTTTAGCAATGGTGGCAATTGCATCAACAAAATAGCTGGATTCCCGTATTAATGCATATCCATTAGGGCGCAAGATTCGGTCCATCTCCAAGAGCACATACTTCATATCACACCTGAAAAGCAACAATGATTTTCAGAACATGCAGCAATAGTTCAAAAACACCAATTTAATCAAATTTGGAATTCATTGCTTTCACTTCATATCATCTTAATCAATTAGAATGCAATTATATTGTATAATTATTCATGTATTTATGCATTTTAAAGGAAAATTTCTAAGCCTCAGCTGCCTATATAATTTCCTGAACTCTGGAAAACAGCAAACTGTTAAGTACTTGTTATGTCATGCCAGAAGCACAAGTGTTTTAGATATAAACTATTTTTTATTTTTCTGGCATACAGAATATAAATAAACTTATGGATCAACTAAATGTTGCCTAATTCAAACCAAGATCAAGATGGTTAGCTTAACTTAGAACATGGACCCATCTTAGTCTACTTTATTGAAAATATTAAGCCACCAGGATTCAAAATTACTAGACAAAATTTTTGCTTTAATGCAAGTTCTTATCCATAGTCAACCAGGTAGGTTACCTACTTCTATTATGCCTTTTAATCTAATTTTCCCAGGCACAAGTGACAAGACTAATATAGTCCTCTGTTAATGACATATTTTCAAATGTCAACTCTTATCAAATCAGCAACATTCATACCAAATGCAAATATCTGTAGTTGTAATAATAATCTAAGATATTTCAATCTTGAATGAAGTGCTAAACAAAAAGAATCCATTACAAGTACCATTGCATCTAAAAACATCAAATGGGAACAGATATGCACAAAGTCTACCTGTGGCTCTCAGCAGTGAAGAGGCCATCAAGGTGAAGGAGATCATATGTCCTTGGATATGTTGAAAACGCTTCACACCTGGAAAAGAGATAACAAATTAAACACCATGCAAAACCTAGCATCAATAGAGCAAGCATATCACAGTCTCAGAGCTACGCTCCTGATGCATGCCTAGGATTCAAAGTTCATATAAATGCATTTGAAATTACCAATCATGATAAGTTCCAATAAGGCCCCGATCATAGACCACAGGTAGTGAGTTGGCAGCATAAGAAGAGACAACATTCATGACCCACAAGGGATCATCAATAAGAGATGTAGCGAAACCTCCATAAACTGTATTCATGTCCATAACGTTTCGTATCTTATCAGTCCCAATAGCAGGAAGCAAGTTTTTGTAGTGCTTGGCCCGCACCTTCCACTTGCTGTCATCATGCTTTAAAGCATTTCCACTCCCACCAGGAACATCTGAAATGCGTTCAGGTGCAACTTGTAACCTCTCTGGCCACTTTGGCAGGGATTCCAGGGATGATTTCTTAAGCTTTGGCCTTGGAACTACAACACATGGGCGGAGCGGAGTGTACCATGCTAAATCTGGTTCAATACTGTCATCGCACTTGCCAGGATAGACATCTGGATCTGCAAGCTTATCGTAGCAGCTATTATCTGAAGATTTCTGCCACACAGCAATATCATCCTTTGTGGCATACATTTTAAAGCACATTGAAGTCAACAAGTCCTGCAACTTCTCATAATCTGATTTTTGCTCTTCCACAGTCGTATTCCATCCACGCCAACGGTTTTCATAATTTACAGGAGGGCCAGACAAGACCCAGAAACCACCAGGACGGAGTATGCGATGAACTTCAAGGAGATAAATTCCCCCTGAAAGCAAGAGCATCTATTGTTTAAAAACTGCAAGTGTAACCAAAAAAAAAAAAAGGTACTTGCTTGGCAGATATGATAAGAAAAGTAAAAAGAATGCAACATCAATTGTAGAAGCAATAGAAGGAAATATCAGATAATGCCTCTTAATTCTCAGCTCATAAAAGGAACTCCATCAAACAAAAGTCCTTCAACATAAACGAAACAACAACAATGATAAATAACAAATTATAATTAAAGGATTCTTGCACTAGTTTAGCATATGTACATAGACAACAACAAAGCATATGTACATAGATAACAACAAGACTATGTTAGCTCGTACAAAATCTATATTTAAGTTGGAGCAGAGTTCAGTATAATAATTTACCAAATTCAGTCCACGGGATAAGGCATCTTGAGCAATGAGCCATATCAAATGAATTTGAAGGGAAAGGAAGGCGCTGGGTAGAAATGACACCAAGGATTGCAGGTATTCCACGTTCCAAAGCAAACTGGACCTGAGCTTCATGATTATCTCTTGGAGCGAGAGAAACAGTCAGAATTCCACGATCTAATAGATCACCTCCCCAACTTGCAACCTGCAAATACATCAATTAAAAGAGTTCAAATTAGAAAAGAATAGAGGCAGAGAAGAGCATGGGAGGAGAGGGAAGCAAATAGATGGACAATCAATTCCCTTCCAAAAGTCAATTAACAGACAACAGTAAAAACAACAAAGATACAAACATGTCTGATTTACGTCTAGTATGAAAACTCCACAAGGTTTCAGAAAATGCAACTCACCCCACAACCAGTATCAATTGCAGTTCGAACTGTGCCATCTCTCATTTCAGGGATCAGATCTTGCATCAAATCTACATATGCACCAACTCCTTTTGGGAACATAGTACCACCACCAGGAAACAGGAACTTCTCCCCTTGTTTCCTCAGCCAGTTCTGATTAGACTTCTGCTTATTAATCCAATCATATGGGACATTCCTGAAAGCAGATCGACATTTCATACGATGCAAACTTAAACCAAATAGACAAATAAATAATTTAACAAACCAATTGACCCTCTCAAGATAAATTAGGTAAAACAGGAGAAAAGCTATAATACCTGTACCAACATTCGTCCCTGCTCTTTGGCCATCTGATAGGTGGCTTATACCCATCAGGAGGTGGAACCAAACATTCCTTCCTCTCAAACACTGGAGGGCAGTGGCGTTCCAAGAAAGTAAGCCGATGTAAACCATACTTCTTCCACCTCTGTAGCAATAAACATAACTTGTCAGTGCATAATTCTAACTTTAAGCAGCCTGTAACATCATTATATGAATGATCATGTGTTACCCTGGGATCTGTGCATGGAGTGTAGTCTTGATAATCAATGCTGCATTCTGGGAAGGCAACAGATTTGACTTGAAGGGGGTTTACTGCAGGTTCCTTTGGAGAAGGAACAGCCTTGGAAACATCCTGGACTGTCTTGCCCTCCAATTTATTTTTCTCAGAACAGAAGATTCCACCAAGATAGAAAGAAAACCCGCATAGCACAAAAACCAGTAATGTTGCAGGGACAATCTTGAAACCTTTATCAGGTTGGGACTGATATTTTCCATCTTTATGCTTCATGATTTCAGAAATAATTAATTACTGCAATATCAAAGGCCACCAATCAATCAAAACATAAAGGAAGACATCACTGAGAAGCTTAGTTTTTTATGAACCGGAAATTGCATCAGCATATCAAATTTAATTTTCCTCAGGTAAAGGAGAACAAGTAATTAGATCCAGTTAACTAAATTGTCCTGTAAAAACTTAAAAAGGGCCATCAGATAATGATGAAATTAAAGAAAATCCATCAATACATAACATGACGTACGCGCACTGATGGTTCACTTCTACAGTTGAGAATGACAAAATACCAGAAAATTGCAACGACCAAATGATGAAACAGAAGTTAGCTCCTTAGGATAGATCCGAGTAATGGGTACAAAAAGCATCGAGAATGGAAAGGGAAAGCAAAACCACGCTCCTTTTCAAACAGCAAGAATTAAATTTAATGCAGATCCTGAAAGCAATCTCGACCATAAGAAACGACCTTCAAAGCTGTAAAACTCGAAGATCTAAATGCAACTACCACCGACATGTGATACTTTACATGTCAATTTGCATTGAAATCTTTCACATGATACAGGGACCCAACTCATATCTTACTTAGCCATCCTAACATGGTCCCATTCATTCCCTATTGCTATACTCTGTCCCGCCGAGTCAAAAAAGAAACGCTTAAACTATGGATTTCCTACCCTGTATGGAAAGGGCAAAAGGGAAATAATATTATTCAAGAAAAAGAAATAGAAACAAACACATGTAGTTTTATAATCATTTTCTTGACAGGGAAGAAAAGGTTGAATGATTTCATTGTCAGTGCAGGCCAATCAGCTGTTTCTTTTTGCACCAGAATTATCAATAAATACATTGACCTCATGAACAACAGCTAATAACGCAATTACCGAAATGCAAAAGGCACACAGTTCCAATGCCAATATGACATCATTCATACCCTTCAAAGCAAAGCTTGAAACTTTTCATCCAAAATTTTGCAGCAACAAGAAAAGAGAAGCATACCGAAAACAAGAAGAAGAAAGGAGAAAGAAAAAGAAAAGATTTTGTTTGACCACTTATTTGAATCAACATTGATAGATATCTAAAAATAGTAATTTAAAAAAGGGTAGGAAAGGTAGAAGAGAGAAGAACCACAATTTCATGTTTTTCAAACACGGGTTAAGGTGAAAACCAAGTCTTTGCCAAGTGATTAACTAAAAATAAGAAATTGATACATAAAACAAGCCTCACCAGTGAAAAAAAAGTCAGATCTGTTGAGGCAGTGGAAGACGTAAAAAAAAAGAAAAAGAAAAAGAAGAATAACAGAAAGCAAGTGCAAGGCAACCAGAAGGAAGAATAAGGGTAAGGAACATTAACAGGACAAAAAAAAAAGAAGCAGAGAGATCTGACAAGAAAACCCAGGAAAAGAAACACCAAGTACAAAAGAATTATACACTACAAAAAAGAAAGAGAAAGAGAGAGAGATTGTATTTGGGATTTGATTGTTGTACCTCTCTCAATCTCTGTCTGTCTCAGTTACAAAAGAAGAAACGAAAAAAATTCTCTTTCAAAAGAGAAAAACAAGAGAAAGAGAGAGATTGGGAGCCCAAGACACAGGGATTTGCAGTAAACTCACTGAGATCTCGCCTGCAAACTTTATAAGTAAAACACAAACACCAACAGGCTCAACCTTAAATAAGGTGTGGGGCAGGCTCCCCTTCCTCTCTACTTCCTCGCCCTTTGTTTCTGCCTCGCTGTCCCAACCCCCTCCTCTCCCTTCACTTTCCTTCCTTCTTCACTTCTCTCTTTCTTTCCTTCGTTAATTAGAATTTCCTTATATATTTCAGCTTGTTTTCGGGTCTTAAAAAGATTCTTCTGTCTTTTTTTTTTCTTTCTTTTTCACACTCATCCATCAAGATTTCCCATTTTTCTTTTACCAAATGCTTAAATCCCACAAAAAAATTCGTAGATGAATAACTGTGTTGTAATATGCTAGAATTTTGTTGTCTATGGTATTCTGATCTTTATTGAAAAAATAATAATGCTACTATTAATTAGTGAGAATTAGAAAATGCTCCACAATATTCTAATTTTGTGATACTTAGTATAACATAATAATCAATATATACAGCTTTAAGCTTCCTGATCAATAGCTTAAAAAAAATTTATGACTAATTACCTATTATATAAATGTTTATTAAATAAACAATAAGAATTAAGATTGATGGCTGATCTATAATTTAAAATGAAAATACAAATAATAATATTGTGTTGTAGGAAATGGGATAATGAAGTTAAGAATTGAGCTGTGCATATCTAAAATTATAATATTTAAGTCTTTTAAGAAGAATAATGGAAAAGTTAGAATAGAAATCGAAGTGGGAGTCCATAAATAAATTCAGAATCTATATTATTATTATAGGTATAGATAATATTTAACAATTTAAAATTTGATATAATAATAAGAAATGAATGAAATATGAAATAAGATATTATGTATAAATTTAATAAAATAAAAAAATTATAATACGTAATTTTTATATAAATATAAATTTTAATATTTTATATTATAAAAAATAAAAATCGTCTAATTAGGTAAAGGTACATATTGAATTAATGGACCCCTTTGGCCCCTATCGATTGCCTAATTCTCTTGGAAAAAGCCATGCAAAGCAAGCACATCGACCTTCAAGACTTTAATAATTACCTTAATTAATGAATAGTCACACAGCAAATCAGATGAGGGCGTCCATAGGATAACCTTACCCATCTATAGTAATAATAATAGTGTAGTACTAGTCGTACATTAACTGTGACTGAGCTGTGACGGTGCTCATGCATCATTATTCCAGTAGTTTTATTTTAATTTTACAATTTGATATTTAAAGTCGTCACATTTAAATTATTATTATTAAATAATAATTTAATATTTTAATTATTATTATTAAGTCTTATAAACAAACGCTGAATTCTTGACTTGTGTTTTCTATTTTATTTATTATTATTATGGAAAAATGTCGGTTATTTTTCTTTGTTGCAATTTGCAATAATTTGGTCAAACATTTTGACGCACTACCCTCCCCATTTTAACTTCTTGGTATTGTAATTGTACCTACCAAATTTCACTAAAACAAGGTATTGTAATTGTACCTACCAACTTTCACTAAAACAAAGGAAAAGAGAACGAAACAACCCTTTTGTATATCCCTCACGCCCATAGATATCGGAGCTCATCCCTAGTAACATCTTTCACAGCTTATCTATATATTTTTTTTATAAATTTAATAATTTAAAATATAAACAAATATAAAATTATATATATATATGTAATGATATATTCTTGAACAATGAATTTTTTTTTTAAATTATTTATTTCCCTAGTGCGAGATAATGCATACAACTTATTCATATAAAAAAAAGATAATTAAGTTTTTTGTAATATTAATCATACACTTAATTTATAATCAAAACGGTGCAAAATTAGATCTAAATAAAATCTGAAAGTACCCATGATTGTCTTCAAAAATTAAATCATACTTGTGAAAAGAAAATGATACCAAAGGTTTCTTGTTTGTGGACAGATCGACACAATAAAAGAATTGCTTCTTACAGCTAAGAATTTTAACTATTTTTTTTTTTTTTTTATAAATGATAAGAATCTTCAAATCACCGACATTTGTCCATTGTTGACTTTATTCTTTGTTTTGGTATTATCCTTCACAGATATGCTTTGCTTTGCTGATCCTTTTCTTCTCAAAAAAACTAATGGTAGAACCAAAAGTCAGCAATTAGAGTTTTGATTAGATTCCATTCATAGACATAGCAAGTTTGACTAGTTTTAAATTTAGTTATTATTATTATTTATAAACCATTAATCTATTACCACTATATAAAAAATTAAGCGGTCTTAAAATATGAAATTAAAGACGGCATATTACGGATCTAGAAATTCCTAATTTTTATGAATAAAATATTCTATTAAATATTAATTAATTAAGAGAAATCTGGCAAGGTGACAAAACTAGGGAAACTGCTCACTGCCGACAGGTTTAAGAACAGGGAATCTGATGAAGGCAGGAAGTAACTAGGATGTATCTCTGATACTTACAAACGGCTCGTCATGTTGTAAAATTTTAAAGCAAACCGATTTTTTTTTTTTTTTTTTTGTTTACAGATAAAAGTTGGCATATAGTGACAAGGTTAGAAGTAGAGAAATTAAGGAATGAATACATTATTGTTGCATTGGTGAGCATTTAAGACGCTTGAATTTGCATTTAAAAAGATAATGTTGATAGATACATATGGAGATGGAGGTAGCTTGTATGAGTCCAGAATTCAGACTATGATGGAAAACAGTTCAAACGGCCTTGTCCTTTTCCAAAGTTATGAATGGCCAACTCTTGGAGTTTAGCTTTCGCAAGAAGGCAGAACCAGGATGAATATCATCATCACATTCATATGCATGTCTAAGAATTTGTATTCACATTTGCGTGAATCTGCGCGACATTATGATAATTTAGATTGTATAACACTGTGGTCCAAATTAAGCTTTAATTTTTCGCTATCATTCAACACAAAAGTTGAGAACTATAATTATATGGAAAGAGAAGTTAAAATTGTACAAACTAGCCATATGCCTGCCGGCCATGCATACGTATATATTACTACTAGAAATTTTACCTCCACGAATTAATGAGTACAGTAATTAATTTTTGGCAAGTGATATTGCGAATTACCCATATAAGTAAAAGGTGTAGATATTCCCAAATATTATTTGTCCTAATTTTTATGACAAGCATTGGTAGAATTCTGAATACTTGCATGCTCAACAGACAGCCAACAGAGATACAAAATGTGTCTTTTCCTTTGTGTTATGTTCTGGTCTAGGCCTTTTAGTAAGGATGATGCCTTATAATCTGTAATTTTCTTAATTAATTAAACTAGATCATTAAATGAAGCTTCGTTCAAATTTAATTTAATATAATTATGGTAATGATTATAGTTGCCTAGCCTTTGTAACTTAAGCTAGCCAGCAAGGCCAAATTGCCTAGCCTCTTTATCATTGCAAAAAATGACATCTTTTGCTTTTCAAATTTGTTTTTTGATTGAATCTTATTGTTCAAGTAATATTCAGAACTTTATTTAACAACGCACACATTAGTTAAGTCATGCATACACATTCGGCAGGGATGAAGCATGGAAAATGCATAATTAATTAAATATGTAGATAATGAACGATCCAATTGGATGATATATCTTATGAGAATGAGATGATGTGAGTCATGTTCTCATTTCAATTAGATCATAAACAAACTTCTTCAATCTATCCCTTTCTTTTGTTTTGCTTTCCATTTTAATTGGCCAATTAAAAAGTTGATAAAGATTCATATATATAATCAAAACTAGCTTGGATATGTGTTAATGACTTTACGCCACTCACACTTAAAAGTATTTTAAAAAATAAAACTGAAAATTTGATTTTACATTTTCGAAACTAGATGGGAAATAAATCATAAAAAATAGGGCTTAAATAAGATAATTTCAATTAGCTAGTTTTGCTCGTATTGTCCCCACTTTTTTGTTGGGACAAGAAAATGTCAATAATTATGCTTAAAACGTTTGCAATCTATATGACTGAGATTGATTAAACTTACTTCCTAAGTCATTTGGTCATCATGCTTAAACTATTTGATTATTACCTCTAGATTATTGTTTCAAACTCCTCCTTTTAAGTTTTGTTCTCAAGTTATCGATTGAAGCCTCGAAAAAGGGTAAAAGATTTTGAATTTTATGTGAATGAATCCGATGGATAACCTCTCATGTGACATGAAAATGTCATTTTTGCAATAAAAGAGAGATAGATAAGAAATGAATTATTTCACATGGGTTTAGGAGATGGTGACCCCCCGAAATGACAAATTAAAATCCTCCCTTTGCAATAAAGCCCAGGTAGTGACTCGTGACGGTGTTATAGGGGCTGTGGCTGTGATGAGATCAAGACGTTTATTACTTTACAAATCAGAGGAAATAAATATCCATGCCTGCATGAGCCTATGTGACTGATCATCACGTAATTGGAGCTGTCGCTCTATATATGAATATAAATAATTAAGCGTCAAAAGGTAAGCTTAGAAGCACCACATGGCATGCTCTTCTCCATGTGCCTCAGCCTTCAATAATTTCCCATCTGATCGTGTGCTTTTTCTTTGGCTTTGCTCTTGCCAATTGCCAACCTATATATCTTGTTTGCTGGGTGTTGACTCTGGCCCTATCATAGTACAAAACACAAATGCTACTGTAGCCTAAGGGAAGGTGGGCAGAGGCTCGGATGCATGTCTTTGAGCACTTGTTAGTTTGTACAATTGTCACAGGAAGATGAAATTATTATATTTAGAAAGTGCTATTCCATTTATACTGCAGATAGAGAAAAGGGAACCTTCTTATCTTTTTGTACGTGCTTTAAATATTATAATATACTAATGGATCGATGCGAATGAGACAGCCAAATTTATCCTAGATTGGGATGTTTAATTAATTAAGATGCAGACTTTACTTTGACTTATCACTAGCGGACGTTGTGCCATTTGCATGTTCTTCGAGTCTTAATTTTAAGGAGGAAGATTCTGCTTATATTCCATTCATACAGATAACAGATATTTCTATTAACTCCAGGGATATATGATCTTACAGTTTCCGGTCCCCCTTTACTTGAAGTGGGACAGAGTCAGGTTTACATCAGTCTCCCATAACCATAAGTGATCAAGGCAAAACAGTTTTATTTATTTATTTATTTTGCGAAAAAACATGGAGTAAGAAATAATAATTATCATCAGCGGCAATGTTTACAAAGTGAAGGAAAAAATTCAGTTGTTTCAAAGTGTGTTTCGCTTCGTGTAACAGTATACATAGAAAACAAAACCAACAACAGCCCCTCTTCAGCTCTTGGCTTTTACTTTGGGAATAGATATCTGGCTCTCGAGTCTCGCCTTGTGGCTTTCATCCTTTTTGTGTCTCCATTTTCCATTCTGCTTTTTCTCTTTGCCTTTCGTTTCTCCCTAAGTCCCGGGGATGACTTCCTTACATATATTTTATTGTCAATCGTATAGGCGGAATTCAAATAGCAAGTTATTTATTCTAGAAATTGAAATTAGTAACCAGACTTGAAGCATGACATTGAGAACATTTCAACCCAGACTCGTTCTCCATGTGCATAAGACTACTTATTAAAAGCCCACGGTTCACAGACAAAGCAATGAGGCAAAGACTCGGTGACAGAATAAATAAAATCAGTGGAATCGGAGCATTTGCGAAAGTATGCATTTCAAACAGATGGTCTTTTTCCAGGTAGAAATTGGAAAGTATTCTTTATAAAGATGAATAATGAAATAATACTGTTAAATTTTCCAGGAAATAAGTCTCCAGCAATAAGTAATTTGGCTTACATTAGGAACAGGTAATTACTTTTCATACCATACCAGCATTTCCATGATTAAAACATCAAAATTTTCTCCGGCCATGGTAGTAATTTAAGTTACTTTTTAAATTAATATTTTATTTTTTATTTTTTATTTTTTCATCTCACTATGACTAGTTCCATCTGCTGATGTCAATAACACACATTGTTTGATGAAGAAGATGGTCTAACAGCCTTGACTGAAATGTGTCCCTGTATTGTTCCCTCTCTACCACAATGGCTTACAGTGACGCAATCAAAATGGCTTAGATCATTAAACCCAGACACAGCAGCAGCAATTGCTGTTTGAGCAGCCACCTTCTCCCTTTCTGCCACTGCTTTCAGACGGTGCCTTTCAGCTCTTGAGCCAATAACCTGTCCCAGGATAGAAGCCCCGATGGTCAATGCCATAGCTGTTTTAGGCATTAAGACAGACTTCCTAAGCATGGCTATGAAGGGCACAGCTGCGTGAACAGCGGCAAACCATGATAATGAAAACTTCTTAGTGTGCTCCTTCCAAACCCACAAAGGTACATTAGCCGCCATGCCTAAGAGAGCAATAACAAGCATCTTTGCAGGTAGTGGCTGAGGGTTAACAAGGGCAGTGCGTGCTAGAGCAGCCCTTGCAGCAACTACAGCAGGCGGGCATCTAAGCTTCATTCCAGGTGGGGGCCGAAAATTTGTTGCCACAAGTGGTAGGACCCGACTCACAGCTCTGTAAGATTTTGCAATTAGGCAATGCCCAGTTTGTAACCACTTGTTTCCTAATGCATCATGGTTTGATGAATTTCCTTTCTGAAGGATACCAATAACTCTCAGAATCAGGGGAATTTACAGTGGTTAATTGGTATATAAAGCATAATATGAAAAGGGACAAAATTGAAGGAAAATTTTCAGCTACTAACTACCTACATCTCAAATTTATATTTCATTCTGCTAAGCTTGCACAAAAGAGCCATTGATTATAAAATTATTGATTTTTTTCTCTACAAGACATCAATGTAGTTCAAAATTAAAGGAAAGGAACCTAAGACAGCCTACAGAAATATGATAAGCACAATTCTACATGTTCTTAAGACTTGTTTGCTCCAAAATTAATGTTAGCACCTGACAAAATGTTATATTTAGGCTGGTTAAATTCTTATTTGAAAATTAGCCCTGTGCAAATGATATTTTCTTTCATCTCTTCACTTGTTTCCACAAATTCTTTGAATCACTCTTCTAAACTAAAACATTGCATTGGTGTAAGAATGTGTGATTACCTGAGAAGAGAGTTCTTGCTTGTTAGATGAGTCAGATGTCTTTTTTTTGGTTCTTCCATTTGTCCAAGAAGGGACCAAAGCCAAATGGCCCTCCTGCGCTAAATAATGAAAGACTGATTGTCGCAGCTTTTGCTGCCAAGGGGTTAAATTGGGGGGTAGGCTCCTGTTCCACTCGATTACATTGAACATCAGACGTCCCTGAGAGTGGCACAATGCCATCCTTCCCATGAAAGAGCTTAAATGCCATATCAAAATTAGGGCCATCTTCAAATATTGGACCTCTTGCTCCCTGTTCCTGTAGAAAAGATATAGAAGAAATCAATCCAGGTGCAAAGTCTACTTAATAGTTGAGAATCTAGGTATAAACATCCATGCAGGACTACGAGGCAAAACTTACAGGAACGGGGAAACTCAGTGAAGAGAACGAAAAGTTGGTGGGTTTGTTGATGTTCTTAAGAAATGGACATCTCTGAATGTCCCTCTCATTAAACGAGCGCTCAGATGTGTCCTCATTTACTCCCTTAGACCAGAAATCCATTGTTTCCAGTAACCAACACAATTACCTACAAAGAAAGCTTCAATAGGTCAGAAAACAATGTATAGATTGCTGGGAATGTAGGGAAAGGACCTCTACTTTTAAGAATAACTGTAGCTATCCTAAAAGCTGCCAAACGTTTTCACAAGATATCACATTTCTGAGCACAGACAAACTTCCCCATCAGCAAAATCCATTTTGCCATACCAGCATCAAGCAAGAAATTACAATTAAATTGCTCCCCGAACCACCATGAAAAACAGACACCTGGAAAGACTTTTTGGCACAAAGAAAAGCCAAACGCAAAACAAATGGTTCTTGATGGTTCCTTACAGAGCCAAGAATATTCATTGCCTCTTTTTGCAAATGAAATTTAATAAATAGGAGATTTTAACTAATTGCAGAAACCACAAGCCTAGAACAAATGAAATTTGATAAATAGGAGATTTTAATTAATTGCAGAAACCACAAGCCTAGAACCAGCTCCTGATTAAAGCAATTGAAGCTCTAAAAGCATAAAATGTTTATTACTATGATATTTCATATGTCTAAATTCTATTTACTCGTAATTCAAGCCGTAAAATTTTTCATTAAAATCCATTAAGAACAGAAAAAAAAAAAATAAAAACCAACAAGTATACATATAATACTACAATAATTGGAAATGAATAGTTCAAGCAAATGCAATTCCATATCAATAAATAAAATAGAAACTCGCATGAAAACAATAAGAGCCATTAATAATACTCGCAGTTTATTTATTCAAACTAATATTAATTGTAGATTCTTTTACCATGGAGAACAATCGACAAACCCTAAAATTTCATAATCTAAGAGAAAATGAAAAGAAATGGGATCAGAAAGTTAGAAGCTAAACTGAGGGGTGTTTGGCAGAGGAGAAATTACGGAGGGCTTTCTCGCTGTTGGGCTGAACCTGAAACTTGCAAGCGGACAGAGACAGGCAAGAGAACAGAAACGAAAGACGTGTGGCTGACACAGATACGAATTCACGCTTGGCGAGGGCAGGTTTACGTGTGGCCTGTGGGTGTCAAAGAAATGACCGGCTCACCAGGTTGTTTTGCACGTTGGCTTCTTTCAATTACCGGTTAATGTGTTGGGCGGCCAAGACATGAAGCAGGCAGCCAATTTTTCAGCATCTATTTAGACGAGTGTGGTTAATTTCGGTAAAATTAAAACTAACGTGAAATTAGTTGTTGTTATAATAAAATTAAATTAATGATAAAATAAGTATTTGGATATAAAAGTAACAGTAACAATAAAGTGAATTGTAATATAAAATGATTATTAAAAAATTAAATTAAAAATTATATGTAATAAAAGTTTTAAATTATTTAGTATTAGTAAAATTAATAAATAATTAAAAATTAATAAAAATAATAATATATCAAATAATATTATTTATTATTAAATTAAAATTATTTCAAAATTTTTAAATAAAAATTAAAAGAGAAAAGAAAAGAATTAAATTATAGAAGTAATTTTGTATTTACAATAAAAACTAAAAGATTACACAGAAAAAAAAAAAAAAAAACAAAAAACCAAATGAAAGCCTAGTTGGCCTCTGGATCAAAATTGGTCAGTGAAAAACTGATATCAATCGTGCTATGACGATGAAAATCGAATGATAATTTTTACACTGTATAGTAAAATTGACACAAACTGCAATTGTAATCGGGTCCAGTAAAATCCAAAAACACCCTAAGCCGAATAAATTAAAGATTGAAAGAGGCAATAACAACTTTAAATTTTTTATGACCAAAAAACCTTTAAAATGTTGGCTCTTGTCTCGCCTATGCCTATATTATTTTGATTATTCTTTTCATCTTAGAAGTTGGAAAGATTAAAAAAAGTGAGCAGGGGCATGCAACAATCATTTAAAGAAAGATATTGTACACTTGCTTGTAGAATTTTGGCACAACAATTTTTTTTTTTTTTTTTGGTATTGGATACTTGATTAGGTTTCAGTTTTTGGATTAGATGTCCGTCTCACTTGTAAACAAATAGGCTCAAGCAATCACTACTAGTTGGCAGCAGCTCAACAAGTTTTGGATGGATATTTACTAATAAGGATTTTATTCTAAATAGCCCAATATTGGGCATATGTATGAGTACATCATTTTGGTCAGTTAGCAGTCCTTCTAAATAGATATCCATCTTTTTCTACTTCCAAGTTATCAAATTTTAGTACGCTGGAGGAACAACGAACCAATGTCAGTTGGCCAGGTGATTAGCATCACTTAGAAACATGTCAGCGACGCAATGCAAATTGGACACTGCATGATAGGGACGAAGACGATATCTATTGTCCAAACAAAAGGTCAGAACAACCAAAGATTAAACCAGAATTTCACTTTTTACATGTAGAAAACATAACCATGAATATATACAACGAGAAGGCTTCCTATAAATGCCAAAAAGTGAAACACCAATACAGGGAAGGAATTCATCCCCCAAAACAAAAATGCCTGAATAGTAACCCTTTTCAGGCTGGCAAGTTCACAGGCTTTTCTCATGCGGATGACCAATACCAGTACAAAATGAAAGAACCTGTACCACCGCATCAAATGTTCCACACAGAGAAATTACATCGGCCATTTACTAATAAGCAAACTACAATACAACCAAAGAAACAAGGAAACAGAAGCAAAATAGAAAATGAAGCTCCAACACCCAAAGTGAAAATGTTCAATTTCGAGAAGAGATAAAGCTCTAACCTACAAGATCACTAAGGTTCAGCATAAAGCTTTGTACTAAATGACATTACAGTAGCAACTCATGGCTCCCGCGTCCGATGCCCTACCGGTGTGAAGCTAGTACCGCACAATTTGGAAGGGTGCCTGTTGCCTTGGAACTCCTCCATATCTCCCAGATGAAAAATCAGTGCTTCCGTAAGATGGACCCGAATTTGGGCAGTCTTTGGCCCAATGTCCAGTTTGATGGCATTTATAGCACTCATCTGAGATACGGCCGACACTTGCCCCAGAAGATATTCTATCAGCAGAATAGTCCCTCCTCATGGACTGTACTGGACCATTCATGATGGTAGGGCAATTTGTAGGGCTATGACCAGTAACCCCACAACTGTTACAGAAAACATCCATGCTTTCAGAAGTTTCTCTAAGCCTAGAACCACTGTGCTGATTTCCATATTGACCCCCTTGATTTGCAGTTAACCCATTTTCTCTACTAGCAGTTGTCGTTGCAAGATGTCTGCTTCCATCAGTCCCCATTCCAGTATAATCCATTCCATGATTAGGAGTGGTAAACTCTGCCTTTGATGCAAATGGACTAGAATCATTTGCTTTAATCTTCTCAACCAAATCCAAAAGGTACCTCGATTCTGATGAAAATTTTACTTTTTCTACTTTCACCACTGTCGATTTCACACGCTGTTCATCACTGAAAGTTTCCTCCTTCACTTTCAACTTGAATATATATTTGTTAAACATAACCTGGCGTGTGATTTCCATAAATTTTTCATCATTTTGGTTTTCAAACCTCAAATAGTACAAATCCTTCGCAGACACCCCCATGAGATCCTCACCAGACTCCTGAAAAGCAGTCACCCACGTTATGCCTGTATTATCCTGTATCTGAAACTGAATTATATATCTGTAGTCACATTCATCTACTGATGTATCACATTTATCACACCACCACTTCCCATCTCCATTATTTGTAACCTTTTTGTTGCATTGACGATCCCCATTCATGATTGGACAAGCTGTATAGCAAAAATTGTCTAACTTGATGTATGCAATAGTTGCTACAACTGTAATCCAATCAGGCTTCTCGGAAGTTCCTAGCCTCTCATCTTTGATTTGTGATATGGTTTTTCGATTATCTGTCCTATTCAAACTTGATGTTTCCCTAGAAATAGAGACAGAAGGAGTGTTCCTCCCCTCACTGACAAACCATTCCTTTAGCCTGTGAGCCTCAGGAAATTCAGGATCGATAAATAACTGGGTTGTAGAGATAGTTCCCACTGCCTTCCCATTAAAATCACTCACCCTACCAGTTTTCATAGCCAGAACTGGAAACTCCCCAGAATCACACAAAGACTGGAGCTTTTGTCCTTCAACATTGCAAAAAATTCCCCATAAAGTTAATTCAACGCTTCGGCCAGACATGTCCTTCAAATGAAGGGTTCTCTTCTGAGTTTCTGTACCATTTTTTCTCATTATTGAAGCAGTAGGACTGATATATGATACTACACCAATTATATCCACAATATTATTGTTCTCCATGCCTTCAACATCACTTATGGTACGGAAATGAAACTGCTGGTGTGGAATTGTGTTGTCATCCTCATAACACGGCTGTATTATTGATGCGCTATCAAGAAATATTTCATGATCATTGTTAAGGTGATTAAAAGCCTTCTGAGCAGGTTTTAGACTTCCCCTAGAAATCAAATAAACTTTACCAGCTTCAATCTGGTTATAGAATTGGTCAACGACAGCATTAAAGCAGGTCACCCGTATTTCCCCACCATCAGAATCAAGGAGATCAAAAGAGAAAACTTTACCATCACCACGAGCATTGTTATAGCGCCTCAGTTCTCCCTTTGCCGTTACTCTGGCCTTTATTGTCCACCTGCCCTGATAAGGATTCAGAGCAGAAATCGGGATTATCCTGGGTGCTGCCTCATTCTTGGCTACTGGCCCTCTGTTAGTGTACATTGGGGAGGACTGTTGATAGGAAGGTATTTGTTGGCGGTTAGAGGTGCTTAGAGGACGTGAAGCTGCTGGCCTAGGATTATGGAAACCTGTACTCTGAACACCATATGGTCCACTCAAAGGTGATGATCCAGGAAAACCAGCAGAAGGATCTGCCTTAGGATAAAGGGATGGTGAATTTGCAGCAGAATATCTTACTGGTTCAGATTCATTAGGATAAGAACTACCATGCAGTTGATTCACTCTAGGCTGCTGTAGAGTGGCTCCAGAGGAGTTCAGCTTATCAGCCATACTGCCACCAACTGAGTTTCCTCCTAAAGAGTTGGTCTGCACCATCACTGTCCCAGGTTGATCAGTAGGGACTTGTGCAAGCCTAGAAGATTTTGGTGCTGGTACAGGCTTCCCAATGGTATCATATTTTCCAACTATCACCTCCAACTCAATAATAATAACAATCCTGCATGCATAGAATTAGCACATGAACCCACGCATAGATGCAACATTTTACCACAAAGCCAGTAAAATTCTTATGGGGACATAAAAATGGATCCCATCATTCAACGCCTTAATTGTGAACAACAATTTCAATTAATTGGATATACTAATTTCAAATTCAAGAAAGAAAAGAGTTAAATCCATAGTTGGACATATAAAATTCAGTAGTATATAACATATAGGATGATGAAATATCCAAAAATAAGCATTTGAGCAAGTGGCACATGTTAAGAACCAATAAGTCACTGTCATCCTCACTAAAAACCAAAATATACACTGCCAGCCCAAAATCGCAGCCTCGAGTAAATGTACCAGTGGATTTCATTCATGGTGATTAATCAAGTTACTAAAGAGCAATCCATTTTCCTCTAAACCCTCAACACCTCAATTCCACCACCGTATCAATTAACAAGTAACAGAAGAAAAATCTAAACCAGACAACCTAAAACATAACAAGGTGACACAACATGCAAAATGACATAGTTTAAAATTTTAACAATAATTATATATGCGTTTAACAAAACTAAAAAAAAAAAAATTCATGTTTTCATGTCAACATGAATTGTGGTTAATTGCGTGTAAAACACATTATCAATACACGAATTTCAGAATTTTACACCACACAACGAATCGCCAGGTCTAAAAAATTCTATAAAACCACTCATCCAATAAAACAAGATCTTTATATTCACAAAGATCTTCAAATGAATGGTTAAAGAGACAAAATAGAAATTAAGAAAAGATAATATCTTTTTTGCAGAGAGGGAGAGAGTGAGTTACATTCGATCTTGGATGACATTGCAAATGTACTGAGTCAATTGAACAACGGATCCTACTTGCAACATGGAGGATTTCACAAGTTCGTTCTTATTGGTTGCGAGCATCCCTTGCTGCGTCAACGACCCATCCGATAGCAGTAGCCTGAACCTCTCGCTCTTTTTCGGTTCTTGCTGGTGCTGCTGTTGCGGATTCTTCGACGTCGTTTGAACCTCCTTCAGCTCTATCACTTGAAGCACAGGTTTCAAATCCCTCTCGGTCGACACCTCTCTGCTTATAATCCGCGACACCGCCCCTTCCGTTAGATTTACCTCCATGGAAACCCAACAATTAGGGACTTTTGGAGACAAATAACTGTTTGGAAGGAGAGAAAACAAGATTGGTTAAGATTTTGAGAGATTGAAGGATTAAAGGGAAAACCTAGGGCAGAAAACGCAAGGCGCCACTTCAGTTCACTTCGCCAGTTATTTAAGAGAGAGACCGCCAATTGTCGCGTTTTGGAACTTTTGGTTCCGATTTATGGGACTTGAAGTTTTTGAAGTACCAAACGTGTCCCTTAATTTGACTCAGACTTGCGGAGTACACTAATCGGTAAACGTCTAAACGAGAGGTGCGGGACCCTTTTCCCTGCTCCGAATTTTATTTTCAAATTTTATTACTTTCAGTTACGAGTGGCGTCACAACTCACAACCGCATCATACTTCCTCCAAAATTTAAATTTTAAAAATTATAAAACTCTTAATGAAACAAAATTAAACAAAGAATTTAAATCTAATATTTAGTTAAAGATAAATTATTTGAGTACATTATTAATTAAAATTTTTTAATTAATAAAAAAAATTAAACAATTAACACGTATCTTTTAATCAAAATAAATAAAAATTTTATATACTCTTTTAAAATTTAAAGTTATGATAATGACTCTTTTTGTCTTATAAGAAGTCAAGAACCAGACATTAAGGTAAATGTGAAAAAATCAAAGCTTAAAGAAAAGGAAATTGGAAGGAAATTAGCAAATGAGCCCCATATTTATAGGATTCATATCATAGAAAAGATGGATTAATTATTTGAACTAAAATTTGATCTTAACTAGGTCTTGAAATTTGGATTTAATTACATACTTGTTATTGTGTTGGTTGAACTCTTATTCAAATGAAAACACCGGATAATGAGTATTCAATAGTAGCTAGTTCCCTTTAAGATAAAAAAACTCTGTGAAAGAAAGCATAATTGTATTAGGAATCAACAAAAACAATGTATTTGCATCCTCTGCTTGGATATCTAAAAAGCATGATACAGCTTTTATATGTTCATCCTGATCTGATATCAATCTATATGTATGCACTACTGATGATATCGACAATATATAAGAAGTGGCAATAAGTATAATCGTAATGTGCTGACTTTATATGTTCATGCATGAAATTGCAGTCCCTGACAGCCTAATTTTGAAAGAGAAAGGACAAAGTTTAGTCATAGGAATTTAAACAGAAGCATCTTTAACTTTCGTAATTAGAAACTTGACCAAGAAAGAACTCGAAGAAAGTACGTTTGTGCTTGAGATCAATATATTCCATTTGCCCAACTAACCACCGCACTTCAGCTGTTTGTTTGAGGAAGATTCAAATATGGATGGTGAGTGATGAATTTTTTCAGCACCTCCGAGCTGTCTTCGCTTGTTGGGAGTCCCTTGCACTTTTGTCCATAATCAAACAACAGTTTTCTCATGTGGCGTTCAGCTTCATAACCCAAACCATCCAACCGTCTCACTCCTGGTTGGCACTTGCGAGTATCAATCTCTGGGTCACCTTTCACCACTGACTTCCACCATTCCCATTGATTACGCTTTGATAAAAGAATTGTGACCGTATCATGATCTTCCAGGCTCCAAAAACTCTCACAAACTTTCACTGCCTGAAACAGCTCGCCGTCAATCAACATAGGCTGCCCCTTAACCCCCACTCTAAGAGCCTTGCTCTTTATATCGCAAACCACGAGTTTCATTTTGGTTCCAAAAGGAACTGGGACCTGAACTTCGATGGCCCCTAGTGTTTGCGTCCATGAATAATTCTCCATGTCAAGACCATTGCTTTTATTTGGTGTCAACAGATCATCATCACTAGGGGTATCATCGTTTCCATCTGCTTCCAACCTCAATCTCTTCTTCTCATCATCTTCTTCTAATTCCCCTTTCTTTTCCCGTTTTCTCTTCTTGATTTCTTCAAGTAATGACAAAATTTTCGTCTCCATCTCATCACCCTGGCTGTCATTGAAGATATCAGTGGTCTGAGACGCAAAGTTGAAGGCAGATTCAAAGAACCCCATAGGATTTGAAGGGTCGAAAACTGAACTGAAAGCCACTGGCGAGGTGGAGGATTTCGGCTCGTTTGGATCATCGAATCCCATGACTCAGTCAGATCGGTGGCCGCCCTTTGATGTGAAAACTTAGACGGAACCTGGAAGAAATTGAAAGCTAGGGTTTCTTTGTCAATGTCCGCTCTCGCTGGGAAACTAGGGATCCTTGGACATATATGGTCATTGGAGTTTGGACCATATATCATTCTAATAGTGTACTAACACAGTTTGAGTTTTTAAAATGCACTCTTTTGCATTAATATTTCAACAAAAATAAAACTCTAATTGATAAAGAAAAAGAACTATTTTCTTATAAACTAGATTAACCATCATATATCATATAATTCTTTTCTTAATCTCAATATGAACATATTTATTCTTTTATTCTTCTACGACCTCATTAAGATAGGCAAAAGAGAGTAGTTATTTTTAATGTTACTCATTATATAATCTGTTATTTTTGGCCAGGAGAGACTCATTGAGTTATAAATTGTTATAAGTATTATTATGTAATAGATTAAGTACTTATACTTCACCATGCCATGCCACTAATAGATTTAGGTATGTACTTAACCTTATTTGGATCAACTTTTGAATATAATTTTTTGAGTCCAATTTAAAGTATTATTTATTAGTAATTTTTTATTTAAATTTAATATATTTAAAAATTAATATAATGAAATTATTTTAATATTTTAATTAATATTAAAATAAACTCGACTTAATTCGACTAACTAATGAACACATGTGATGACGTGCTTCTAATTTCTAAAGTTGGCTCTCAAAATTATTTTATTATCCCTGTGGATTTTTCCTGGTAACACATCAAGACTAAGGGTATTTTGAAGAATGAACTTAATTTATTTTCGAGCCACTTATCTTCCGCTTAAACAAATAAAATAAAATCGCTAAAACAAAACCTCTAAAACGCAACGATCCCTAGCGTAGCGTGCGCTCTTCATTCTTCTGAGTTCCGACTTTAGAAAACTCTCCGATCACCGGGTAAATTTTTCCGGTGATCGGCGCACTCATAGGAAAGTCGTCTTGATTCCGTTGATTTGCGCCTTTGAATTTATGGATTCTCAAGAACTCCCAGATAATGGTAACAAGGGTTTTCACTACATGTTACTGAGAATCGCTTTTGCCCTTCTCTTCCCCATCTTCGCTTTCTTTTTCTTATCATTTTTAGTTGGACTCCTTGCCATTTTCACTGGGGAAATATCAATTTCGAATCCGATTTCTGTCCCCACGCACTGCAAGATAGTCTCTAGCAGTAAGTTTCTCTCTATTTCTCTTTACTAATCAAACTTTGACTTTTTTTAGAACATTTTGACTATCTTTTCCATAATTTTATTTAATTTTAGCATAATTTTCAGTTGTAACTAACAATTTCACTTATCATATCGTTATTGTTTTTCTATCAATTTTTTTTTTTTTTGCCATTTTTTAAAATTTAAAATCAGGTGTGGATATTAGGTCATCGAAGGTTTGTGAGCTTGGATTATTGAATTATAAAGCAAAGCATGTGTTGTATCCTTTCGAGAGAAGCAAATTTAGATGCCGATATGATTATTACTGGACCTCAGTGTTCAAAGTAATATTATCTTATCCGATTCAAGTCATCAGCTCCTTATTTTTACTAATTTTGGAAATTATGGATTTTCTTTAATTGTGGCAAATATGCAATTTCATCTTTATTATTTTCCTTTGATGATATATTGATTGGCTATTAAGATTTGCCTAATCTTGTAATTATTAGCTATATTACTGAAACTGATAAGATTGTGAAAATAGAAATGCTATGTAGGAAGGCAGCAATATTAAGTACTCTAAAATATCACTTTTTTTTTATATATAGTTTTCTGCTTAACTATTGCAGGTCGAGTATAGAGACCATTCTTTGGGTCAGATGCGACTTGCCTTAACAGAGGCACCGAATGAAGCCCTTCCTCTTAGTTGCAGGCCTAACTTTGGTGCTGCTTGGTTGACCAAAGATAAGTTCAAGGTAGTGTTTTTCATGTTTCTATGGTTACTTTTGATGATTTACAGACCCAAGTTTTTTTTTAGTGCAATTTTTTATAATCTAATCAGTTCTACTTTTCAGGTTAATGAAACCTATGACTGCTGGTATGAATCAGGTATGTCCACAGTAAAGTTGTATAATGATGGTTTTTTCAGTTGCCAAGCAAAAGATCCATCCTCAATCGAGATGATGAAACGATATTTAATAATGTGAGTATATTACTTAAGTTCTTTTTTTTTTCATTTAAATTTTATTTTATATAGTTGCAGGAAGTTGTGTTCAGTGGCTTTTTCTCAACAATGTGCTTGTCGGGTCTTTAAATTGTTTGGTTGGGATGAAATAGGAACCTTGGATTTATTTGCATTCTTGTCCACTACCACTTTGGTGAACTTGGGTTTCTAGTTAGCTTTTTTACCCTTGAAATCACAAATGAGGTTCATTTTGTTTCAAGCTGAATAACAGCTACAGCAGCAAGAAGAAAAGGGCTTTCCTTGGTAAATTTTGAGGATCTGGTCGTGAGAATGGTGTAGGAAATTTGTTTTGTGGCAGTGCAGCTATAGATGAAGTTTTGGGTTTATAATGAGTAGAAAGCTAAAGTTCTTAGGTTGTTATGGTTGTTGTGAGCAGAATTCTGGGAACAGCAGCAGAACACTTTCTGAAGTTTGGGAAGAGAGAATGAAAAATCTGACTATAGGTTTCCAATAAGATTTGACTTGAAAAGCCTAAGAAGGTAATGGAGTCTAGTAAAAGGGAAAAAGTGAAAGATAGAGAGAGGTTAGGGGGTTCTAGTGAAGTGGACTTGTGAAAGCTGGACGGCAGTTGATATTTTGCTGATAATGATGCAAAAAGTTTTGTGCCTTCTTTTTTGTCATCAAGTTAACGTCAAGTAATTGCATTTGTTAATTCCTTTTGCCGGTCATAGTTGCAAAATGGTTGAGTAGGACATACTGTGAACATGTCTGTTTTCATGTCCTTTTGGGTTAATATTGTTTTCCGCTATTTAATTATTGGTTGTGTTGATGCCATCAGATCCACCAAGATTTTACAGTCTTGGTTTTCCAGGGAGGGGAGAGCTAGATATCGGATGTGGGAAACAATAGCTGGTGTTGTCACCGGTTTTTCAACATCTATAATCACTATCAGCTTCGTTAGAATCCTACAACATATGAAGTCTTGGTTGCCTCAAGCCATTAACACAGTTCATATCAAGCGTGTTTGTTTTCTACTAGTGTACTTTTCTGTTATGGGTTGGTTGACATCCCAATACTGGAGGAGGCTCAATATCCCATTGATTAAAGTCTATAACTAATAGGCTGCTACTTTTTGTACTTGCTATTTGCCCCTTGGGACTCGGTATCATTGAGTCATGTAGCTTTCCTTGTTGAAATATGTAAACTTGAGTGGTTACCTGATGTATTGGATCAACAGTTAGATACAGCTTGATAAGATTACAAGGAGCATAGAGAGTCATGTACAGTTGATTTACCGTATAAAAGAGTTGTATTCTGATGTATAATATTATGTGTCACTATACCCGGTAAATTCAGGAGTTCGCAGTGAATGTTTTATTCTCAGCATTTTGTATTCTACTTGGAACAGAATTACGAACTAAATACCTTATTTTAATGTTGGCTGTGGATGGGAATACAAGCTGTAATATCTTATTTCAGACTTTGTTGGTTTAGGATTTTATTTTTTATTTAAACATGAAATATGGTACAGTAGAATGTTCTTAGATGGCTGATGGGTTTCAGAGAAACTTCTTGGCGATATCAAGATGCCCTCTACTTAACAAGCAAATCTCAGTCATTGACATCTGTTACAACATTGTAGAAATTAGAAGGTAGAATCTCTCTTAACTGTATAGAATCCTGCTTCCAAAATTAATATAGAATAAAAAGGAAGGAGAAACATTACTCTTGAATTTTCGTTCATTAATCCAATTAAAAGCAACATTTGATGCTTTATTGTAATAGATTAGGCGTTTCAAGTTAAATAGGCAAAACCATACTGCACACATGTTAGAGGCTACAAAAATAGGGCTTGCTATCATTCTTTAGCTTTAGGCTTCATATTCAGCGACGATTGCTCGTTTACCGGACAAGAGTCTAAATCTATACAAACATGATATGGCAGAAACCGATGGCTATGCGGCTATGATTGTATTTTCATACCAATTTATGACACGTAGGCTTATCATTCTGTTCATTATAGATTATAGACAATGTCTGAGGTGGCCACAGTCCAGTGTTTCACATCTTGCCTGGATCCGAAATGATCCTTTCTATCTCTTCTAAGAGGCGCTCCTTTTCATCTGTCAACTCCTCATTCTGCTTTTGTAGCTCTTCTATCTGCTTCGTTTGTTCCGAGTCCTTTCTGAGATTTTTTATATTGTACAAAAAGTAAAATGGTTTAATAATAACAATAATGTGAAACGCAACTAACAAGTTGAGAGCGAGATGCTTGATGATTCATCATAAGCTGAGATTGCAATTTACGATACAATCCCAAATTGATAAACAGATGTAACTCTGTCAACTTCAAAGTTATTGGCTACAATCTAGGAGTACTTATTACAAACAACTTAACATTGATCTGTAATTACCTGTTCATGAAAGACAAGTTAAGTTTGAGTGAGCGCACTTCCTTCTCAAGAGTTTCACAACGCTTTAAGACTGCTTGCATGTTAGATGGGATTGCTGGGGTCGAATTCCTTTCTTTTGCCTCTGCCATCCTAATTCATCAAATGTTGAATGGACAAAACATTTTCAACTATAAGCATCATACTGCTTCAAAATATCAAGTAGAATTGTATATGATTTGTCCATGGAAGTGCTGATAAGTAAATGAAAGCTTGGGTAATCTTAAAAAGACAAAAGCAGAAATTCTGCGAGTATTGAAAGACAGAGCTCATTGACAAGGAAGAGGATACTCTCCCAAGAGTTGCTGAGATGTATTACATACTTTCGTGTCCGCTCCACTCTTCGCTTTTTCGTTGGGTCTGCCCTGTCCACTGCATTATTTTTGGTTTGGTTAGTGAAGATTATATGGTTGTATAATCAGCATGCTGATGCATATGCAAAAGGAAGTAATGTACTCAGTGCTAATACCAAAGAATGCATGTCAGAAGCAATGAGACAATTTTCCAGAAAACTAATTGAATTTCAATTGGAATGACTGGATTCAAATGGAAATTTGACCTTTAGATTGGTTGAAAACACGAAAGTAGCAATTATCAATATTACACATCAATAGAGTCGATCTCCATTTTCTGGAACAGTAGTTACTACTATTGTTTAATAAATAGTCAATTAGGTTTGGTCCTAAATTAAGGAAATCCATTTTTATTCTAAGAAATAGATCAAAACAACCTCTAGAGGACAGAGATTATGCCACCCCTTTACAATAATAATAGAAGCCAAATCCGGAATGTGAAAGCTTAGTACCTGAACCTGCTGATGTCACAGTTCCGTACGGAACAGGCCCTCCCTTCTGCTAATGATTCCAGGGGAAAAAAAAAAAAAGAGAAAATAAGTACAGCTTCCCAAGGTTCACAACATAATTTGGGAAGAACATTAAACTCATATCAAATATGAAGAATACCTTTCGATCATCTTTCAAATTGTCAATTATCCTTTCTCTCAAATCTGCTGAAAAAACTATGTTAAAATGAGTAAATCAGCATATGATTCTTAGAAAACTCGTTATGGGAATGTGTACAAGACGCAACCAATTGTAACAGTAGATAAATTTGCAGCCTTCATCATTTTATTTCTTGCACTCATATAGATTTTAATGATATCTGTTTAAACTTTAGCTCTTGTGGTAAGATTTTAAAATCTTAAAAGAAGAAGGGAGGGAAGACGGTCTTTGTTGGGAAAACTGATATAAGCCCTGTTATGTACAATGTAAACTGCATTGTGTACCTTTTGATTTAGAGCCATTTTCTAAGATCCTACCATTTGCAGCTTGTTTCTTTGAGCTTTCACATATGGTTAAAGTTTGACTTGAGTTGCTGGGGCCATCACATGCATCAAAACCAGATGAAACCACCGGTGCTGCAGCCGACGATTCACTTTGAGAAGCTTCTCGAGAAACTGTGCTTATCTGAATTGTGTTTGTGGGATTTACAAAACCTTCCAAGTCAAGATCCATAGACCCCTGAACAGCTTGTAGAACCCCAGTATTTGTTACTTGACCAAGGGATACTTGTGCAAAAGCCCCGGGAATTTCATGAAAACGATTCCCTTGTCCTTGGTTGAAGGTGCCATTAGGCATAATAGAACTACCTTCAACAGCATCATTCTCAATTTGGTTACCAAGCTTTTTACGTTCTAGTGTACCCTTTAGCATGCTGACAACAGAAGAAACTCTATCCACATTTCCTGTTTGGGTTGCATTAAATGTAGATGAAGATGAATTTGATGGGGACATGAATTTGCCCAGTTGGTTGGGAATCTCACACATGGGGATGTCATTCAAACCGTTTGGATCTGATAATTCTTCTTTCAATTTCTTGACACCGTTTCCATAAGAATTGAGTACAGCCTCCATGCCAAGCAATGTTTGAGCATTTTGCATAGCAGCATATCTCCTCCTATAAAAAAACAAATTTATACGTGGAATATTAAAGGTACTAATAATAATTTCTCTGGTGAATTATGCAGAAAGTATGAATAAATTTGAATTGAATGTTTCATTTGTGTTTCGACACAAGTAGCGCTTAAACTAAGTTCTTGGAACTCTATAGATGTTGAACAAAATGATGTGGTCAAGAAAGATGAGAAAACATCATTAAATTGACAATAACCAATAATCAAGTGGTAACTTTTCCTTTAAAGAAGACCGATTTTAAATTCAAATATTGACATGTGGTTGGCTGAGGTAGATTAAGACTTTGAAACCCTGATTGTGAACCTGTATAGATCAACAGAATGATAATCATTGAAAATCCCATGGATCGATGGATAGGAATTCTTGTAAGCTGAAATTGGGAATTTCTAATACCTTAATTCAGAAGATCTACTTCTTGTCATGGGTTGTGAACTATGAAACCATGCCTGCAGTAAAAAAAAAGTCCGATAACATCAAAAGGTAATGAAACCTTGCTGAATTGGACTTTCTGAAAGGAGCTGTATACAAACTAACCTTGGCTAAAAATAAATTACTAGCCTCAAACCCCCTTTCAACAGCAGTCCTGATCGAAAAATGAACCCCAAGTAAATTTGTAATCAAAGAACTCTTCCAACTAAATACACCACTGGTGGTCTGGCTATCAGTAATGATAGAAAAGCCATTGAAGGATCATGTCCTGATATAAAAACAAACAGATATCTAAATAATATTAGATGATAGAAGTGTGCCGCAGTGTTACCTCACTGAATCTTGATTGAAGTTCCCTGAGGTTTCGCTCCCAGTCGAATTATTTTGCAAAAGTAAGACATCATAGCTCTTTTTCGTTTGAAGTGAAGTTCCAGGCTGCTGATGACTAGACAAACTGGCCATCTCAGTAGATAATCTGCACTCAATTCCAAGTAATAATGTGTCAATTCAAAGTTAAAACAAGAATTTTGAATGAATACTTGCCAGAAATCCTCAGCCATATGTAGAATTCTCAACAAAAGAAAAAAAAAAAGCTTTTGGGAACTGTCCTGTCCCCTCTCTTCAAATGCAGAGTTACTTTGCTCGTAATTTGAAGTTTAAAGTGAACTGATACAGATATAGCTTCTCCGAAGTAACATTTATAGTGGCAAGAACACTTCCATTCTAGACTCTAGATCATATGTAAAATTTTGACTCTTTGCCATTTTTTCTCCTTCCCCTGCATAATGATTAGCATGTAGGGTGAAATTTTTTTACGGTTCTTTCATTTCTTGTTTCATGGTGTTCAAAATCGTGATGGAAATGCAATTTCTTGATCAGAGAAAGCAATTTTGAGATTGACTTTTCAGAAACCTAAAGTAGGGGCTCGAAGGTGATGATTTCCAAAATATACACAAGAAAAATTCTTAAACCAACTTACCTCCGTGATGCTTGTCGAGTACGATGTGCTATGTTGGAAGAATTGTGACCCTGATTCTGAGAGATCAATCAGATCATAAAGGAGGTATTACATCAGCCTCAAATTCCATACAGGAATAGAAGTTTTTATTCTATTAATTATTAAATAAAGAGGTAAAATTGCAAGTTCCCTGGTTAAGATCGATGGATACGTGACTGGTTATGTCAAATTCCAAAACCAACAAATCAAGATGATAATATAAAAATTGCTTGCCTCTCCATTGGTGAGCCAACTTCTGAAAAGTTCCTCACTATCTGCACGAAAATTCTGAGAAAGATTCTTAAACCCCATCATCTCCATGGTTGGTACAGGCATCCCAATTGAAGTCTCCATCAATGACTTAAGAAACAGCTCTTCGCTTGAGTTTCTATAAAAATCAGAAAATTGTATCCCCTCAGTCTCCATGGCACTTTTCTCTCCCGAACTTCTATGACTCGGCAGCAATTGATATGAATCCAAACTCTGCTTAGTATTTCCTGGCTTTAGGCAAGAATCACCTGGCAAGCTTCCCTCGTCTCCATCATTGACCATATTAGTACTTTTCTCTGATGCAAAAATGAACAATATTTAGTACTATTTATGCCCATGAACAAATGGATTCTATCAATCATTTGAAGATTGAATTTGAGTCCCTCTGAGCCAAATGCTTAAAGGCAGTGTATAGACCCCTATAAGATTCTAACCTACCAATCAAGGCTTCAACTCTATCACGTAAGCAAACCTCAAATATTTGTAGCTCTCAAGAAGCAGTTTCTTCCTCTAAAAGCAACAAATTCTTCCAAATCTCGAAGCAAAGATTCTTTTGTTTCTCTAATCAACAAATGAATAATTTGTCATCAAGGGTTAAGCTGAAATGAGGCCAAAGCTAGGAAATTAGGCCTAGCTAAGGACTAGGAATAAGTTAACAAGAAGTGAATATGATGATATAGAAAAAGGTCTTAGATTATACGGCGTACCTAAGCATACTAATTTTATTTTTGTTTATTTGAATAATTGAAAAAGAAAAGGTAATGGTGGGCATAAACAATTGCAAAAATGTGGGAATCTTTGAATTTTGAGTTTGTTAAGATTCTAACATAACATGAATTGTCTTTTTCATTACTTCCGGATGAATTCTTGCAGCCATAACTAAGAAATTTTTCTTTCAACAGTGAAACCGTGAGAATAGTAACATGAATGGAAGGATTATATACACGTAATGATTATACACATATGATAATATAAGAATTAAATTATAAAAATATAATGCATAGGTGTTTATGTTACACTCTCCTACAGAAATGTTAAAATTTTTGGACTGGGAGTATACATGAATAGCTTACGCTACAGTAACAATGTTATGTATTACCACAGACCATGAGCTAGATAATAATAAAGGAAGGGAGACTGGGAGAAGGTTTGAGCGTTGAAGGTTTAGGCTGACAGAGAAAAAATGAAGTGATGACGAGCCTGAAAAGGACAGCATTATTTTTCTTTCTCTATAAAAAGATGTAGCTGTTGGGAGGGCATTTTCAACTTGCATTTTCATATTATGTTTGTGATTTCAACTTGCATTTTCTAATAGAATGCAGACTTTTGCAGTTTGAAATTAAAAGATTGTAGTTATTTGGGTTGAATTGGAGGTAGGAGCAATAAACAAGTAACGACAAAATGTGATGCAAAAGCCGGTAATGACTGCAGACTCGTAGGTTTGTTTTTGGTTTGCGTAGACAGTAATTGAATTTAAGAAAGCCGACGTACACTCCTAATCAAAAGCGAAAACAAATTTTAAGAAACAATCTGTCAATCACTAATAGTTTGACTGAAGCTTTGTTTGTGACTGTGAGGGCATCGATTCAAACACAAGACTCTAGTGGGTGGATGTGTCCTAGTTAGTGACGAAATTGGCTGAGCCTTTTAACAATTTTTTTTTTAATAAATTTTTTGGATTATTAATGTCTTTTTCATGCATTTTCATTATACAACATGTAATCGGCATCATTCCACGGATTATTTGGCTATATTATTTCGTTTATTGGGAAAGCCGGCTTTAAAGTTGACCAAATTAAGCAACCGAAAGATATAGTCACAAGACTCATAAAAATACATATACAATCATCTAATTTTGTAGTAAAATTTATCGTCTATTTCTTTTTTTTTTTTTTTTGGAACAAGCTATAATCTTGTTGTTTTTGTTTATTATTGCCTCCAAAGAGAAATGAAAGAAGATATCAAGCCAGTTTGTATGTGTCTACTTTCATAGTTGTGATTGTGAAACCATTTAATGATTTCAATTGCTCCTTCCAAATTGAATAGGATTGAGTAAATGATTGATTCGTATTAATTTGATTATAAAAATTAAATAATAAATTTAATTTACTTAATTTATTATTAAAATTGAACCGATCAATATATATATAGAAAATTAAAAAAATCAAATTGAATTAAAATAATTGATTTCGATCAATTTTTTTTGAGTTAGTCGATTTTAGTTTTTGTTTTCTTTATTAGGTATACCTATATCATATTATTATATATACTTATATTATATTATTTTTTTAATTATTAATTTTATATTAAATCAAGTATTTTGATTTATTCTATTTAGATATTTTAAAAAAAAAATCCACCATTTTAACTATTTAAACAAAATAATAACCAAAATATTTGTATAATTCAAATTACTCAGCCCGATTTCTCCTGAAAATTTATTTTTTTTATTTTTCGATATTAACCAAATTTTGCTCAGACTAACGCAGTGAGGCCATGGAAAGAACATTGACCGAATCTAAAAAAAAAAAAAACCTGTGGTATTGCGGGCTGTTAGCTTCTCCTCTTTACAGGCCTAAATTAGAAGGAACTTCGACTATAGGCCCGCCCCAACCATGCATGTATCGCCAACCTGATTAGCTTCATTCTCAATAAATGCACTCTGCTCATAACATATAAATTAGTAAATCCATAATTAAACTTAATAAATGAAGTTATTATCAAGTTTTTTTATTTAGATATGATTGATCATCTAACTAAATTTATTTTTTTTAATTTTAAATTTGGTTTAGGTATCTTTAAAAGATAGATTCAATATCTGTGAAATTAAAACTAGATTCAAAAATACGATTACGTATAAAAAAAGTTATAACACCCTCACAACGCCCATTAAAAGATGGTATCAGTTCAATTTTATGTTATCCATTAAACCTTAAAAATTTTATCAAATAATTAATTATTAAAAATTGTTCTTAATTGACTTCAAATACTTTTGACAAAAAATTAAGAAAATTTTTTCACCTCAAAAGTATATAATAAAACAATTATTTCTCTTACAGAGGCTTTGTCGTCGAATTATTTAACATTTAAAAATTTTTCAAAAAAAGAATAGGATAAAAAGAAAAGGGAATGATGATTCGACTTTTGATATATATCTTTTTTTGTTTTATAAGAAAAAAAACTCATGCTTTTATACAAGTAAAATTGATACTTTTAATTTTTTTTTTTTAAGTATTTTAAAGTTTTTATTTTCAAGAAAAATTTATATTTTCAACGTTTCCTTAAAAATACTTTTCTTGATAATTTTATTTTTTTAAAAAATTGATACTTTCCATTTTTCCTCAATAAATATTTTTTGAAAATTTTATTTTTAAGAAAATTTGATAATTTCAACTTTTCTTTAAAAATCTTTTCTTAAAATCTTTTTTTTTTATTTTCAAATAAAATTGATACTTTCAACTTTTTCTTAAAAATATTTTTAAAAAATTTTTATTTTAAGAAAAATTGATACTTTCAACTTTCCCTCTAAATATTTTTTTAATTTTTATGTTTAAATGAAATTGATATATTCAACTTTCCTTCAAAAATATTTTTTTTCAAATTTTTATTTTAAATAGATCATTGAAAATTAAAAGATGTTTAATTAAATAAATAACTTATTTCAATTTAGTCAATAAATAAATAAAAATAAATAAATAATAAAACTAAATGAAAAAAAAAAACCTTTGGCTCGGCTCGGCTAAGTTCAAACAGAGCGTGGCTCAAGAGATAGAATCAACTGAAGCGACTTGGTATGCGGCTTGGCTCAACGGCTCAGCTTCTGCTAAGGCGAAACGTAAGGAAGCAAGTTAAAGTGGGTCAAACAATCGAGTTGGGTTGCCCAACAATAAAACGCGTAGATTTTGGGTTTTCTTAAATGCCAAAACGACATCATTTTGACAAGACTAAAAGGCTAAGTCTCAGCCTTTTTCCTCAGATCCCACTTTCCCCTTCTCTCTCCACCCCCTTGTTTTCTCTCCCTCTCTTTCTACCTAGACGAACTTTGGTTGAATCTTTCACTGGATTCTAAAAATTCTACCGGAATCTGGGTTGGGTCTTCGAACGGACGTAAAAAAATTCAATCAGTACCAAATTTTTCAACCAAATTTTAAGAAGCCTATCGAAAAATTCAACCGACGTCGAAAGATTTATCGAAAACTGAAAATTTTCCAAAAATTTTACAAAAATATGGGATTTTCCAAATTTCTCAAAAAAAAAAAACCTCTTTGTTTTATAAACCTAAAAAACTACGATTTTTTTTTAAAAACTTTTTGCTTACTATATTTATTTACTTTTACTCTATTTTCTGCTTCTAATTTTCTCTCTGTGTATATTTCTGTTCTATCTGTTTTGTGTCTTTTGCTTTTGTGTTTGTGTGATTTTATAGGGCCTAGCAGAAGTGTTCTTAATTAACCAGGAATCCACCATTTTCGGATTATCATAAAAACATCAGAGTTATCTAATAAAAATTGAAAACAAACTTTAACTCTCAACCACTATCCATTCATGGCACTTTTTTTAATTTTTAATTTTTATCACCTAAAAACTAATGACAAATCCAAAAAATAGATAAAAAAAAAAAATCAAAGATCATCCTAAAAATAAAATAAAAAAAAAACCAATTGGGTTTGATAATTTGGGCCTAATTGATCAGGCCCAATAATATATGATTCCGGATATCTACACTACTCCTAAACTAAAAGTGAGCATTCTGTTGCAAAGCTAGCCACTGGGAAAATACGAACCACATAACATAAGCCATCCTATCCCTACAGTTTTCTCATCTACCCCTCTTTTGCCTAAATAATTTGTTTTGCCTTTGTAGTTAAAGTGGTTATAACAAAATTTTGCCTTTTGCTACGGTCTGTCACATTGAAATGGTGAAGTATGGAGATTAGGGAGCCATATATTTCTTCATAGAAAGGGCAGTAATGGAGGATGACGGATACTATCTTGTTGAAGATCAGTCCACGATATGATGAAAACGTTTCTGCATCACCTTATCCTTGTGTAGCTTCTTCTGGAACCGTGGCTCGTTCATATAAAACAACATATTGAATATGGTAAGAGTTCTTCAATCAATTTATAACAGTGGTTAATATTTTAAAGAAGCTTTTTTTTTTTTTTTTTTCATTTATTACAATGAATATTACATATATATTTTAATTTTTATCTTTAATAATCACGATTTATTGGTTTTGAAATTAAAGACAGCATTTGAAAAGGATATACATGCTTCAGGGCTGATGTGGACTAAGGCCCACTAGGGGCCACTTTCCAAGTCTTAGCTACTATTAGATGGGGCCATGGCCCATATTTGACCCCCCTGTAGATGCAAAGGCTGCCGCGGTTGTCATTTTCGCAGTTGAGTTGTCTAGGCTGTGATCATTGTCCCATCTATAAAGACAAGACCGTAAAGAGTCTACCGTTGATCAAAAACCCTTTTTTTCCCAATCGTCATGGCATAATTCATTCAACCATAAAGAGTCTATTGAGAATAATTCCACATCGAAAATTCATAGAAACTGATAGATCCATGTTTCCATCAAAAGCGAAAAGGAATTTTGTTAATTTGTTATTGTTATTGGTCAGATTGGGTATGCAATCATATACGTGATTGACGAGGCAGGAAGCAAAAGTAGCTCAAAGCAAACTTCAAGGTGGGGCTAACCAAGTTGGGTCCTATTATAATCCGATCCACTTTCTCCACCCCAATTGTCCATTCTTTTTTCCCTTCCTCAAGAAAATGGGATGTGACTGTGAATGCAAAAGCACACGGAAAGCAGTCTCTCACTCTCCGTATGTATCTTTGCATTATATTATTAGTGTCATGCAACCTTATCCAATCCATTTGCCCTCTTCTTCAATCCAATTCAGTAAACCAAATGTTGAACTTGAAGTCAATGCCGATGTCAATAATTAAACACCTCCCAGATTAATTTAGTTGCTAAAAAATAAATTTTTTTGTTAATTAAAGTTTAATTTTTATGAAAAATTTTAAAAATAAATTTTTAAATAATCATATCATACGAAAAAAAACATATCTTTTAAATTATTGGTAAAAAAAAAAAAGAGATTCAAATCAAATTTAAGAAAATCTTGAACTCGTGTAAAGATTACGGATATTGAATAATTTCTAACATCACCGTTCAGCTTCCCTTGTTTTTCAACTAAGGCCTTTTTGGGGATTTTGTGTCTTTTTTTTTCCTTTGTAAGAGAAAGCTAAAAAATTAACCAAAATGCAATGTGGTCTCATAATAATCATATACGTCCCTGTTCTTAACTTTGTGTTTAGGATTTAAAAATTATAAGAAAATGGAAATAATAAAGTGAAAAAACAGAAATAAAAAGACAAGATCAATAGTGGAAGGCCAAAAGGAGTGAATTCCAACTTGCACACCTTATTCTCAATTTCTGATCCATAAATTTGGCATTACCTTGGCTTATTTGTTTGCTTACCATATCAATTATCATCGAAGTTCCAATTTATTACCATAACCAAAATTGAAGTGAGGGAGAAGGATCAGCTACCCTTTCCTTCCAAATCTTCTACATCTCTCCTTCCTTTCTTGTAAACTTCAAATTGAAGCTGCCAACTCTACTTTTCTGTTGCTTCTTCCTAAGCACAACTTCCATTTCATTCAATTGAAGAAGAATACTAATTTGTTAAACTTCAATTCAGCTTCCAACTTATTATGGATTTTGGGAATTCTTGTTTCTTCTCCTTAAATCAGTCTTCATTTGGTTCATCTTATTGTGTTTGCTTTAATACATGTTCTAAATCATCCATTTTTTGTTTTGGAAGTGGTTTCCCAGAGCCCAAGATCTTAAACTCTATCTTGAAACCCTCTTCTTCTTCTTCTTCTTCCAAATTCACTGCTGCATCGTCTCCCTTTAGAGAAGAAGCTTGATCCTCTTCCATTCTACGTTTCTTTTCTTTTTTTTTCTCTTGCTTTAGTGATAGACTATTTTTTAGCTCTATTTTTCGCTTTTCCCAGAGCAATTTGCAAAGAAGCAAAATGTTGTGCGCATCATATTGCGTGCCAGCGGCAGCTATGGCTTCTCCGGCATTTCCTGATCATTGCTTTATCAGGTAATTCTTTGATAATTGAACTTGTTTTTCCCTCTGTCTTTTTCCCTCTTTTTTTGTACTTAGTAATCGATTTTCCTAAGTGGGTTTACTATAATTTGACTGTTGGGTTCTCGTAATAGGCAGGGGGAATTAGAATATTTTTTTAGTAGTATAAAGAATATAGAGTTGGAAGAAGGATTTGTAGTAGGAAAAGCCCTGGAATATCCGTTTATTCTTTACGATCATCAGGTATGATCATCATCATCATCATGATCACAAGGACTTGAGGAGATGGAGGATTAGGACCATTGCTGCTACTTCAGCTTCTGCTTCTGCTTCTGCTTACCCTCCCTTTTCCAATCAGATTCAGCTAACTAAAGACTCTTCTTCCCGTCACAAGTTTTACCAGGAGGTTGATCTACTAGCAATATATGTTGTTCATCCATTCTGGATATCCACATCACCATGTCAATACTTTTTTATTCCTTAGCCTATCTTCCATTTCCATTTTCTAATGTTCTGTTGAATAATACAATCAACAGGCTCTTAATACTGCAAGGGACAAGTTCACTCGGGAGATCTCCTTCCAGTCCAAGGACAAAGACATCTCTCTTGCTAAGGTGCAATATAATGATTACCTTCTTACTTGCTCTTCTTTTTTGTTTGAACTTGTCAAATGGTGCTACCCCACTAGATCATTTATAAAGCATTTCCTAGTTCATTGTTTATATGGTGAATGCCTGAGTGGTGAGAAGATAAGCTGATACTTGAAAGAGGTACTTATAATTACTTCATTCATGCTTTTGAAATGTAAGTTGGAAGTTTTATTTTGCTTGATATCTCTTGGTGTAGGCTTTGCTTTATGTTGCAGCTGAAGATGAGGCATTCATGGCTTTTAACCGAGAGATGGATGCTCACTCCCTCCTGAGTGAAAGGATAAATGTTTCTTCCCCCTCTGATACCAAAGAGTGGGATTCTGTGGAGCAAATGCCTTTGGGTGGAAAGACCATATCTGAATGGCTGAGTGAGTTAGATGCGATTGCTAAAGAAGTTGAAGCAGAGCTAGTTTCAAGAGACATAGGCTGCCATCTGATTGAAGTTTTAGAAGCAGTCAATATAGTTCTTTTTGAGTTAAGAGGCTTCAAAAGATCCCCTGTTCTTGTAGATTCTAAGCATTCATACTTACACTCTGTACTGAGCTCTGGATGTGGCAGTGGTAAAGCCTCATTCTACTTCTTTTTTGCAATAAGAATTACTTGCCACAGCACATATTCCCTCATAATTTTGATCTAGTGGCATTGCATTTGTTTTTCTTTATTGTCATTTAGGCAGTATATAAATATGATTTTGTTAATTACAGCAATTTTGCTTAGCATAATTTACATTGAAGTTTGTCGGCGACTTAGTCTAACCATTGTGGGATCTCGAGTTGGGGAAGATTTTTTGATATGGCCCCAGACAGGGTACCCAGAGGTACTTTACTCTTGAAGATTTATTTTTGCGGTTTATTTTTGTGGTACATAATTCTTAATTCGTGCTTGTAGCAATGCATGTTTGATGTATCACCCAATCCATGGTTATGGTTCCTGCTTAGAAAAATTGCGAGCAAGTCTTTCTCTATTGGCCGCTAGTCAAGTTGAGTTAAATTCACTTAATTTCTACTCTTCTCTGTGTAGGAGCTTTTCAAAGTGACTTCAGGACACAGCTTGTTTGCTATTGTCAATGGAAGGTGTGTGGAGGACCCTAGATCAATGGCATCAGATTTAACCGGTACTTCACTTTTAGGGCTTGAGATAGCTACAAACCGCGATATTATTGGGATTGCTCTAGCCAATTTAATTGTAAGTCCTAATCCTTATTATCAAGTTATATTAATTTTTGTATAATGTGTCTACATTTCATTACTTTCTTGCAAACTATTCATGCCTCAAAGTATACTTCCAAAATTTCTTACATATAAAATAAACTTAAAAAAATTGCAGAGGCTTCACTGGAAACGTGCTTCTAGATCAAATCATGGGTTGATGCTGACTTCTCCCCTTAGGCATGTTCATAATGCTGATGAGAAACCTAACAAGATCGATAAATCAAATGTCCCTTTGTTGCGGCCTCAAGATCTTAGGTAAATTCTAATTTATCTTTTCTATTATGGTAGCATAACTTACTTCCTGATATTTTCTTGTATGTAGCAGCTGTATTGTGTTCTTATACAACGTTTGACTGTTTTGAACTGCCAATCAATAGTTTAGTTATGCATGCAAATATGAGATGCTCTATGTATTTGGCATCATACATTATGATCTCATGAATATGTCTACTAGATTAAAGGCATTGCCCTGCAACTTTGTTATGTTTAGCTTTATCTTGTATTCAATTTTATAATATTTTAAGAGATAAGGTGGTTTGCATTACTTGTTGATTTTGTAAGGTAAGTTGCATATTCATCCATATTCTTTCACCATTTTTTCTAAATACATTTTACAAGGAAGTTATCTCTGTAATAAGATGGGCGACAGGGTGGGCCCAGGCTGGCATTACTTCCACATCCTGCTCTACCAAGAAAACACTTTCACTGTCCTTCCGTTTTTTCCCACTCCACACGGTAAAACAAGCATGCTAAATGTGATATTGACATGATCCGAGGGAGGTATTTGTAGTTAGCTCATATGCTTTCCATTTGAATGTAACCTCTAGTTATCTTTTAAAGAGAAACTCGGTAGTGGGATTAAGCTTTTGTTGCAATAAATCATTGACTGGTAAGGAGCTGCAGCTTGCAGTATTGAAGATAGTCATTGATAAATTTCTAAAGTCAAGAATCATGAATCTTCATGGATTAAGTAGAGAAGACACTTTATAATTGGCTCATCTGACATGGTTATGAGAAATCCAAACCTGCTAGTATTTTGAACCATTTTCCCTTTGTACACTTTCTGACCGACAATGTTAATTTGGCAGGGATTTTATATGTGATGCAAAGTACGTTTTAGAATTGCTGTCAAAATTGTTTCCCCATTTACCCCATTCTTTAAACTATATAATAACCTATTTGTTTCTCGTGGGTAGGATATGTCTTCGTAATGCATGAAGAAGGTTAATCCTGTTTATACTTTGCAAAAAGCATCTTCAACGTGGCATGCTAAACGTTGGATTTATTTGCAGGCTAGCTATCATGGCTTCAGAAAGATTGTTGATTCTGCAGCCACATAATTGGGCACTAAGGAGAGACCATGGCATGATGCTGTATTATAATAGGTATCACTTCTGAAACTTGTTTAATTTTAAAGAAGGTTTATTTAAGGCACTTTAGGGGTGATGGATGAAATAATATTTGATATTTAAAATGTCAGGGAATATGGCAAGGCTGTGCAAGAGCTTAGCATTTGCATGGCCTTTGCTCCGGAAGAGGAGGCAGAGATTCTTGAACCATTTGTTGAGAAATTGCATCTGATGCGGCTGGAATCATCATGGAAGTCTTTGGGGCACGCAGGTCGATTGACAGTTCCTTGATTTTGTAAATAACCTTCTCTCTCTCAAACCCTCCTTCGCCACATATGGTTTAACGTATGAATTCTGCGGATTGTGATTAGCGTAGCTTTTTGGATAAAATGAACAGATGAACTCCAAAATATAGGAATGTAATGGAGATGTAGGAACAAGAGGGAACTCCTTGTCTGTCTTCCCCTCTATTTTTGCTGTGGCGCATTTGTTATTATACCATGACGGAATGAGGAACCGAATTATATGTCGGAATGGCCCTTTGTGCAGCCATTAGATCCGACATTTCATCGTGCTAGTAAGATACAAGTGGTGAATGAAAAATGGGCAACCGGAGATCAGTGATGTGGGCCTACAGTTGGATTCTAGTCGTCTCTATACCTTAAAAGGCTTACCGAAGTGTACCCATATGGCTAGGCCAGAATTTAGAGCTTCTAACATGGGCCTGTAGAAAATATTGGGCTTAAGATTGGAAAAGCCATGTCGTGGTCGAGGCCTAGCCGAAAAGCAAAACCCAGATTCCGGATTTAGCCTAAAATCTTCACTCTTAAGAAATCAGAGTATCCTGCCAATCCATCTGCCTTTTCTCTTTATTTCAAAATTCAATATCATTAATTTTAATTTTATTATTTCAAAATTCAATTCCTTTATGACAAAAACTAATTTTTATTAACATCATTGTTATTAATTTTATTAAAATTAATTTCACCGTCGATGCAAATGTGCTCTAAAACAAACAGGCTTTGCTTTGGGGTAAGCATCACGCAAAGGCAAAGACGCAAAGTCAGGGTAGGGGGTTTACATCTCTTTATTAAAGTTTAAACGTCTTTTTGGGTGTTTGCCGGTAACCTGAAAGCGACTCCTGAGGGAATGTGGCAATCAAGACTGTCCTCGCAAATTTAATCGTTTCCGGAGATTTCAAAAAATTGGTGGTTATTATGATAAAAATAATTAATAAAAATAAAAATATATAATATCAATAAATAGAAAATAAAAATTATATTTAAACTTAATATTTAATAGATATTAATTAATGCAAATAATTATCATATATATACATATAAATAAAATATATGTACATTTAGTCAAACAAGACATATAATTACTTAAAACATATGTAAATTGGGTCATAAAAGATAATTTTAATTTTTTTAATAATTTATGTTTTAATATTTTTTATTAATTATTTTTAATCAAGGAATTAAATAATAAATGTTTTTTTATTGATTGTCCCATTTTGTAATTCTGCCCTTCTCTCCTTCCGGAACGAGGACAGCGTGTCATAATATCATTTCTTCTCCTCATAAATACAATATAAAAAACGGATAAACATTACGTGAACATCGTTTTTCTTTTTTTCTTTTTTGTTTTAGGCTACAACGACCAAAAACAAAAAAATAAAATTGATGTCTATAAATGCAAACAGCAGCCTGCTCTTGCCACTCAAATAAATATTTATTGTACAATAATAGAACTGTAAAACGCTGTGCGTGTGTGTTTTTTTTTGGAGTATTACAAGCAAATTCAATTCAGTTCCTTAAGGTAACACTTAAATATAATTTTTTTAAAAAAAAAATCATTATTTTTGTCAATAATATTATTGACTCAACATTAACTTGTTAAAATTTTAGTTTTGAGATGAACTAGAATAAGATACATTGATCACAAGCTGATCATTTTTTTTGGCCAATCAAAAGAAGACCAACTAATTTGGATTTCATTAATCATCTGTATTATAACTTGGAATTAGTCCATAAAGGGTGGAGTGAATATTCTTAATTGATAATTTCAATGTTCTAAATATTAGGGAGAAATATTATAAACTTAAAATCTTTAATATATCAAAATATATCTATTGCTGCTTAAAAGAGTTTATGTCCTGTTTAAATTCCGATTTACTTTAGCTATATATATATATATATTGATTAAATTTTGATTTATCTCTCTCGTATTCAAACTTGTAAACGTATCTCATTGTGCATTGTTGTATGATAAAAATGGAAAGATGCAATACAACAAGGCATGGCCATTAGTTTCATCCAAACATCTCTTCATTAAAGTGCTTTATGATGCCATAATTCAAGTTTATTATGTTTTTCTATACGTGAGATGGCATGTTAAGTGACATTATTTTATATTTATTAAAATTTAAATTTCTTATAATTTTATATTCAAATTAAATCTTTATGTTAACATTGCAAATTAAACATGCCTTTTCTAAAAATAAGCTTGATGCTTTGACAATGTCACTCTCAAAGGCTCGATTTCACTTCTTATCCCTCGTGTATTCGAATTAATTATAAACTTATCATGTATGATACTGTTTTTTTGTACATACTTACAAATGCAATACAACAAGGCTTGGCCTTTTTCATCCGAATATCTCTTGATTAAAGTGCTTTAATTATGCATACACCTCGTAACTTCATGTGATCTGCTATAGTATAGATTAGTCATACGTCTATTACAATGTTTAATGTGTGATCCGCCTGAGCCTGAAGGGAATAAATTTATCTACTTCTACAGCTTATTTAAGTCGGTTTCCCTCACAAAAAGTCCATGAAAACCGTACGGCACCCTACGGGGCAGCTTCACGGCAGCCACGATGTCAAGATTTGGTGACTTTGCGTCCATCACCAAGAACCTTGACTGTCCAGTGTTTTCATTGTGAACATATGAAATCACATAGCCATCATCCTCGTCTGCCTCAGGATTCCCTGGATCCTTGGCCACAAAGAATGGTTCCCCGCCAAAGCACCCTGGCCCATACATCCTACTAGCAACTGTGCACTCCTGGCGCTGTCCATTGGACACATCCAACTTTACCACTCCTGATATTTTTGGCATTGGGTCGCCTACTGCTGCGTACAAATATTTGTTCCTCTTTGCCACATAAGCAGGATTTAACACTGCGAAATCTAAATTTCTTGCTGAAAGGGGATGCCTTGTTACTAGCCCTGTTCTAAAGTCGATTCTTACCTTCTCCACTAAGGCATGAACAAGGTCCATTCTCTCCAGGGTGTGTTCTACCGATAGAATGTTTGGTGCAATCATGACTATCGCGTTACCATCATCTTCATCCCACGCATTGGTGGCGTGTATGAGGTTGAAACCTGGCACATCAAACCACCTTATTTCTGACTCGTCTTTTGCATATCGAGGGATGACTCCGATTCTAGGTACTTTGGCTGGGTCTGTACCCACAGGAGATCCTCCTCCAAAGATCATTTCCATGGGATTCATTCCTATCTGTATGTCAGCAAATATTGCATACTTCTTTGTAATTGCAAAGTCATGGAGAAAAGATGGGCGGGACAAAGTGAATATAGGAACATCTGGCTGTTTATTTCCATTCGCATCAAAGTAAAAATAAGTTAGATATGGAGGCATAGGTGCATAACGGAAAGCGAAGGCCTCGCCAGTGTCAGCGTCCATCTTAGGGTGAGCAGTCATGCTCATAAACAGCTTTCCATCAAAATCAATGCGACCTAATGTTTCTATATCCCCCCCGGGTGTTAAGCGTATGGAATAAGGTAGATCTGACTCACCAAGTGCGTAGAGACGGTTTCCAAACAAGGCCAAACTAGTGTTTGCAAGACCAATACCGTTTGCAGGATTGTACTCACCAGTTAGTACTCTGGCAGCGGTGAGAGCGCCGCGAGTTGCAGCCGCAGTTAGGCCGTTAAAGGCAGAGAAAACATTTGGAAATACTGGAGAACCCATTTCGTTTTCAATGGAGTACTTGTAAGTCTTTACATATCGGCTACAGAGGGTAGCCTGGCCCTTGGAGATTCGGATCGAGTGAAGCATACCATCACCATCAAAGAGGTGGTAGGGTCCTCGAGGGAGGTACTGAGGGTTGGGGCCGTTACGTATGTATGCACCGTCGAGGCAAGGTGGGAGGGATCCTTGTATAACGTCACACTTTGTTGGAGGAAGCTCATCAACCGGAGCAAAGTTGTGGGAGAGAACGTGTCTGGGATCGACCGAGGGGCGGATTGGAGGGTCTATGAAGTTGTTTATGATGTCGTCAAATGTATTGAAGATCAACGTGGATAACTTTGGTTCTCCTCTTGTCTTTGCTCCAACTCCAACTGATGTGTATGATGCCGGCGGTGGAGGTTGAGTTTTAGGAGATGGGGGTGGTGTTTTTGTTGTGGTGGTGCTGGTGGTTGTGCCAGGAATACTGGAAGCTGGAAGTTTTTCTTCAATTCTAACAGAAGAAATGTAGAGTTGAGGAGCATAAGATGGTGACGAAGTTGATCTAGGTGCGGTGATGATGGGCGGAGAACAGAGTTTTGATGGTGGTAAGGTGGAGAGAAAGGAGGAAGACAGGGCGTCCATGTTGAGTTGCTTTGTGCTCAACGGACGCCTTGTCTGGTGGAAAAATATATAAAAAGTAGAAGAAGGGATGAATGCGGTCGGCAAAAACAGGAACCTTGGGGCGTTATTTATGAGCGAGCAGAGTGGAAAAACGAATGGCTTAGAGTACGTAAATAATTAGTCTTTGAATTACCTGAATTCTTTTAAAAACGCCCATATTGTACTCAAATAAGTTTTTAGGTTAAACTCACGATTAATTGGGAATGTTCGCACTCGTAATAAATGCCAATGGTGACTTTCTAATCATGATAATTGATTGATTGTGAAGAACTTTACAATATCATGTATCTGAATCTCAGCACCAGGCCAGTTCGTTGGTAATTGTATTCCTTCGGCACTTGAAAATATCTTCATCCATGGGATGAAAAACAACAAATAAAATTTACATGAACATACCGACGATGGATACAAATTTGGGTTCGATTGTTTCGTAGAAAATAATTTTTAAAAAATTATTTTGAAAAAATATTTATATTTTTTGAATTGAAAGAAATTTTTTATTATTTTGATGAGTTAATAAAAAAATATTTTTTGTTGTTTGATTTTTTAAAATATATATTTTTCAAATAATATTAATGTAATTATTAAAATATTAAAATATATTAAAATTATTTGTTACTAAATTATTAATATTAAAAAATAATTATATTTTAATAATAATATTTAATATTAAACTATTATGTTAATATAAAAAATACTTAAAATAAAACTATTTATTATTCTTTATTAATAGTATATTATTTATTAATACATTATAATATTATTTATTAATACATTAATATATTATTTATTAATATATGATTTATTAATATTAATAAATTAATATAATATTATTTATAAGCAAAATTATATTTAAAAGTATTGATAAATAATTTTACTCATAAATAAATTTTTTTAAATATTTTTTTTTTTAAATTCGTAAGATAATTTTCAAAAAAATTATCTTATTCTTCATTAATCACTAAGTAATTTTTTATTGACTAATTAATTTTTTATCAAATAAATACCTAAAAATATAAAAATTATTTTTTACGAAACAAATGGATAGGATTATATGTTTCTAAATTTCACCATTGTTAATGTGTATGATAATTTTTTATATATATAAAAAAAATTGCAACATATACAGTATATAATATATAATAATATTTTTTTAATTATAAGGTATTGCGAGAAATATAGGTGTTCCAAATTCTATTATTTAATGATGATAATGTTTGATATAAGGTAAGCAAAATAGCCGACTATTATCCCCATTTGGCAAAGACGGAAATCTAGTGAATGTTTGAGAAAAGATTTGAATGTTTTTCAAGCACAGAAAAAAGGAGGGCCCACAATTATCTTATTCGATATATACGTTATGGCTAAAAATTAAGGTCATGAATTGAGTGATTCCATCTACCACTAGCTAAGGCAATGTATGAGGTGCAAAACACATTTGGGAGATGATTTTTCCTGAACCAATTAATGCAGGATGGGACCGAATAACATGTCATCATTCATCCACCCACCTATCACCTGAGTCGGCCTTATTTCAAATTTGCATTATTTGTTCTAAAATACTATAATATCCCAATAGGATTTTTTATATATATAAAAAAAGAAATTATTTGCCTTATATGATATGATGATAAATGCTAATTATGGAAGAAGAGATAAGAAATCGAAGAGAAAGATAGCTTCCATTTTTCTTTTTGTTTGGTAATAAAATAGACATTTTTTTAACACATATTTTAATTTCTTTCTTCCAAAAAATTGGTCATAATTGAGAACAAAAGGATAGCATCAAAACCAGTCTAAGATCATTTTTACAAGGATAATGATATATACAAAAAAAAATAAAATACACATAATTATTTTGTAAAAATATTTTTAAAAATAAAAGAATAAAATGACTTTTTAAAAAAGTGAGGTCTAAGATTTTAATTTGATTGCAAGGAATTTACTATTATTAATATTTTTATTTAAAAAAAATTGGAAGAACAATTCATTATAATTGAAAATATAAAAAATAGTTTTTTGAAAAAAGAAATTGACATTAAAGAATCACAAAACCCATTATCTTATTTATATTAATTGAAAATTGGAATGGTAGTTAGTATTACAGTTTATCTATTTGCTTAATTAATTATATTATTTTCAATTAAATAGAAATTATTTTTATCATTGCTAGGTAAGAAAAAAAAATCTAGTTAAAACAAAATGGAGATAATTTTTTATCCAATAAGTGAATAGGATGGATGATATTTCCCTAGTGGAAAATATATATATATATATATTTATTATATTTCTAAAAAACAAGATATTTGGTATATGGATCATAAATTTCCTCCTTTCTTTCCATCAAATAATCCCATTGTCCCTGTCATGTGTCAATTGATTCCAGCTGCATATATACTTCACCAAGAATTGCCAATATTTATCACTAATATATATATTTATTTATTTATTTATGAGAGTTACTATTTGTTACGTCCAATTCCATGCAATTTCCAAAGTATACATTCGTGTTTCATGGTTCCAACTCCCGAGTTAAACTCGAGAGCAGGTGGACAGTTCCATTTATGAACGAGATATTTATTTGAGATTTTTAAATATTTGATAATCATTTTAAATTTTAATTAATATTTTTTATTTTAGTTTATTTATTATTTATAATTAATTTTATGATTTTTTAATTAAAAAAATAAAAACTTTAATTTTATAAAAAAGTTTAAATTTTAATACTAAAGTTATTAAAATTAATTTTTTAAAATTTCATAATAATTTTAAATGAAGGTAATAACGGGTGTTGCAACTCCAAAGGGCAAATGAACGCTTGATGTTATTGTAAATTTATTAATTTGAAATTTAAGTTTATTTAAATGCCAGTAATTGTATTTTCACTATATATATTATTATATCGAGTGGTCACGATTTCATTCAAGTAGGATCGCTTTTACGATGCCTTTGGATGTGGGCTTGGCTATGACAAGTGTTAGTTACGGTAACAAGTTTTGAAAATGACCAATCCTATATATGAACTGAATGGTTAAAATTAAGCACCCAATCCAAAGCATTAAAGCACTTTAATGAAGAGATGTTTAATTATTTGGACGAGGAAGACTATATATCTTTTAAGTAACTTAGAATTGAAACCAGAGATAAACTCTTCAAGTAAAAGCTGACATCTGATTTATCTTCATATGTCGAAGATTTTATCGTCCTCTCTTGTAACGACCGACAAGTATAGGACAGTGCAAAGGACACAATGGGGTAGATGGGGCGCCGCGCATCAGCACCACCAGAGATATAGAGGGACGGATCTATCATTCGTTGCTCTCTACACTAGGCATCACCCCCCAACTTCAAAGTTGGCTGCTATATATTGTCAACAGTCAGTTTTGGGAAGGGACACATTTTTTTGGCCAAAAAATTTGCGGCATTAAGAAGAAGAAACAGGGCAGAGCAAACAAACAAACAACATTAATGGTTTTTTTTTTTTTTTTTGGGGGGGGGGGGGGGGGTGTGGTTGTTAGCTGACCATCCGTCGGTAAAATATCAAATGAAGATGCATGGCAGATGGGCACAGTTTCTAGTGGAGTGTTTAGCATTTATATTTGGTATATGATAAAATAAAATAAGAAAATATTATAAATAAAATAAAATAAAATAAAATAATTTTATTTTATATTTGATACATATAAAAATTAAGATAAAATAATTATTTTTTTAAAAGTTTATATAAGTTAAATTATTTATATAATTTTTAAAAATATAATTAAATATATAAATTTAATTTTATAAATTAAAAATAATATTTTTCATTTAGAAAAAATTGAATAAATTTATATAAAAAATATTAATCCTCTTTGTAATAATTATTACTTTTTAAATATATATTAAATATAATATAAAATTATTATTATTTTATTTTATTAATAATTTTATATACCAAACATGAATTTAAATGCCATATATCCACACTTATTCTTTTCCCAACCTCCTCCTCCGTTAGACATGAGGAAAAACCTATGATTTCCTCCGCCACAACTTCTAAAACATCAAGCACGATCATCACCAACAGCCCACACTCAATAGCAGATATTATCTATTTGTGGATTACACTAACAGATTATTTGTGGATCTATCTTTGCCAATATTATTTAAAAGGCATTGATTACGATTGCGTCAACGTCCAAAAAGAGAAAGAAGACCAAAAAAAGAACATATATTGAGCTTATAATAATATAGTAATTTATACAGTAATTTTAAGAATGGTCAAAGTGTGGGAGGTCATGCATGCATGAACCATTATTGAGCTGCAAAAGCTGATAACGGATCAAAATATCAATTTGGGCAGTGTGGGTGTGCTTGGACTCTGAATATATATATATATATATATTTATTTATTTATTTATATATATTTATATGAGCCACTTTGGATGCTTCTTTGGAATTATGAGGATCAATCAGTCATCGGCAACTTAAAAAAACAATCCTATTACCATACTATTATCATTGAGCAAGCTTTCATTCTCAAATAAACTTACAACTTACAACCCTTTTTTACTTCTTCTTCTTCTTCTTCTTGACATTCCAATATCACCGTTAATTTGGGAAATTATAATCCTTTCTTTGGTGCCTACATTATATAGGTTGTGGATAACTGGATAATGTCAGCTTAACCAAACTGCTAGTTACTCAAAATCAACAAGCAGGGCAGGGAAAATACCGTCTGTGATCCAATCTATAGTGAAATATAAGATTGATTTGTATATCATGCTATAATTTCTTCTCATGTAATTCAGATCTAATTGAATCGTTTTCCATATTACCATTTGCTGATAACCAATCAAAAGAAAATTTTTCTGGTTGTCCTCAAGCCTTCGGAAAACATTGTAGAGAAACTATTAACCTAGCTGCGTCATAAGAACCGACGATGGTTCAGGTAATGATGGTCATTAGGCCTGCGCCAGTTAGGCAGCAATATACTTGAACGGGTCGACGCTCAAATTATTGTCTGATATAAGGTTGGTGAACAAGGAGTCAGCACCTAGCTTGTGAAATAAGAATGGTAACCAATGCTTGAAATCTCAAGAAATGTGCATTTAGAACCCCGGTGACTTGGGGAGCCAAGTTAACAGGACCCAAAATTCCCTCTCACACCAAAATCTGGAGGAGTTAATGATCAGACCATCTCATCATTAGCCTAGTATCATCCCGCTTGACATAAATTGTAGTGCTGGTAGCATCTGGAATGAATTCAATGCAATTCATGGAATCTCATTAAATTTAAAATCAAAAGGAACACAGCATACGCTAGATCCAAAAGCACTAATGCTGATGAGCAAAGATTTTTGTTTTATATCATCTTATTTTACTTTTGGGTCCAGGCATTGTAATGACTAAAAAGTCAAGAGACAAATAAAAGTGAGAAAAGTCACTGGTCCCTTCCTCGGTTGAGCAGTTCTAACATGTTTATAGTATAAAATAAATGAATCTGTTGAGTCATTTTGAAATTGAATTTCTGTATGTGACAAAAAGAGTGCCTAGAATTCAGTAAGAGAACAAATCTTCTAAATTTGTCATGTCCTTTTTCCCATTAAAAGGTAAGATACAAATAGGAGAAGATAGAAGCATACCAAAACTTCTGCAGAGCATTTGCTAAACTTTCACCATTTGTGTCTCAACTATTGAGGAATTAAGGTCTTCCCGAGATTGTGATCTCCTACTTTGCAGTCGCATCTTACTTCTGTGAGGGGACCAGAAGGAACCCATGCTACTACTCTCAAATTGCATTTGCCCCAAGCTATTAGAGGAATAACTATGTGAAACGCTACTGGATGATGGGTACAAGGAAGACTCTGAGAGCTGGATGCTGCTGCCAGGACTTTGTCCCAAGCCAAATGGTGTCTGTTGAGAACCACTAACTGTTGGACTTAGGGGCATCTTAACTCTTCCATCCCCTATAAAACAAATATGACATTTCTTCATTTCCGTCAAAGATAGAACAAGGATCATAGAAAAGATCATAATGACTAGCCAAGTAAAAAGAAGTGCATTACAGTAACAACATTCAAGACAATTTACAGGTGAAGTTGTGGACTAAGTAAATTTAAAGATCAATAAGATAGTATTGACACATAAACTGCTTATTTAAGGATTTCAATCTTTGAAGAGAGTGAACGTTAGAGTTGCAACTTACAAACTTCCACAGAGCATTGGGGAAGGTAAACATGAATGGTGAAGAACATATATACTAATAAAACAAAGTAATCTATGGAAAAGTTTCTACTATGAAGATTATTCACTTGGGCACACATACTAAACAGACTTCAAGTTTGTTAAATATAATAAGTTCATGGATCCTGTGGTGAGCAGATTTAAAATAGTATCCCTTCTGTGCTGACAAGAATAGCTTAGGATCGATATCCGATCCAAATTATTGTGTTTCAATAAAAAACCCTCCAAAAATGAACTGTTGAGTGCTCAAAGACATGTAATGCGAATGCACAGTTTTGAGTATCAAACTAATAAGGCATAGGAGACCAAGAACTTCATCATTAGTCACATCCATATCCTGAAAAAATACTCTTGACGCATCCATATGAACACTAGGTCCTTAAGGCATTCATCTTGTTTCAAAAATCTTATAAAAAGTCAGGATCATTGCTTTTGTAGCCTTTTGGGAATAAATTGCGCAATGCATTATTTAGATAGAAAACCGTGACGATACAACTAGAAAGGTGTCCGAGTATGGAAGGAATCCCAACAAAGGAAGATTGTTAAAGTGCTAGAATTCCTCTCCCATGGAAAACAGAGCAAACAAAAGTGGCAGAACCATGTTCCAAAGAATAAGTCATCCAGAGATCTTGCCTGAGTTGATAGGACTCCAACGCTTTAACCTGAAAGGAGATGGTATATTAAGAACCGATGTGGTAGATGCACTGTTATGCCGGAAAAGAGGGAGATATGGCCTCCGGAAAAATCGCGGCATCCAATTACTAACCAATGATAGTGCACAAACAAGCAAAATCAATGACATGAATAGAATGGCAATAAGAATTATTGGATCGATCTTTGTCTGCAGTATTTGATATCCACGGAGCCCCAGTCTGCTTGAAAAAGATTTCCCAGCTTCCAACAGTGCAACACCCATTGTCCAAGTAATACTTCCAGAACCAATGACAAGTTGACCATCAGTGATGTGCAAGCCCTCTCTCAAGAGTGATACTATATATGGTGCCCTAAAGCAGTACTGTTCAATAAAGGGCTGTGGAGCAACGCTGTTTTTTGCTACTTCCCAAGGTTTTTCACAAAACTCCCTACCCTTCTCCAATACATCATCAAGTGCAGCATCTGAGGAAAGATTGAAGAACCGATATACCACAAAAAAGCCAGACATTGCATAGAACTGGCCATAAGGGCGAGGCAAGCTATCAGAAAGAGAACAAGGTTGCAAATCACAATCAATCCCTGGGTATAGATTTGACCATTCAGATAGATTGACAGCAACTTTGGCAATTCCACTGCATTGCTCCCAATTTGGAGCACCTATAAGCTGCAAAGAAATTCCTGATTTTCCTCCTTTATCCAAAATTTTCCCTCCAACTACAGGACTCCCACTTTCTTGGTCTTTAGAAGCACATTGAGAACAGATATATTGTTCCTTGTACCCAGAGTGCAAGCAAGGATGTTTAATTTCTATCTTTCCGTTAATCAGATTGGCATTGGAGCCATCAGGGAGCCTCCTTAATAAATGAACTACAGACTTGTCAAATGCATCATTCAAACCATAGCCAGAGAGAGAATAGGCACTAAGGTGATGATTAACCACTCCAATTCTAAGCTCTAAGTTGGTTTCATTATGTTGGTGGTGCTCATTCTCAAATGTAACTTGTAATGATGATCCACCCAGGTCAAGTGCACCAAATGTTGCCTTCTTAGGTATGGCTCCCAACATGCCCGTACGATAGTTAAGGGCTGTCCACCCAAAGTAAGCTTCCTCTGTCCCACTGATAATCTTAACCCACTCTCTGCGGCACAAGAAGGGTGAATACTTTAGTATTGACCAGGCATTTTCCAGAAGCCATTTTGAATCAGCGTCTGGCAACCTGCGAACTCCAGCTGTAGCATACAGGAAAAGAGAAGTAGTCTTATGTGCATGTTCAGGAATTTGCTTCTCTGCCCATGAAATAAGTGGGTTTATGGCAGCTTTCAAGCCAGATTTATTGAGCACTAACTTATGAAAGCCAGGCTCAGTCTCCATCCTATCATAAGCTCGTCCACTCTGTGAACTGGGTTTTCTAGAAAGACCTTCTGTTAATGATTTCATGACAATAGGCAGACTACCATCATTCCTGTGATCAATTGAAGCCTGATACACATAAACTCGGGTTCCGGTACTTCCACAATCAAGAACAACATAGAACTTGGAGGCTCCTTTGGACCAATTTGAATAAATGTACAAGGAAACCATGTATGTCAAAAAAATGAACAAAAGTACACACAAGAAAACCATGATTAGGCGCACCCACTTTCTGAGCAGAAATGAGGTTCCACCAGGCAAACCCTTCTCCTTCGAGAAACTTGACCCAGCATTTTCTCGCTGTAGAGAGGGTTTTGTATAGGTCATGCCCTTGTCAGTTTCAGAAATAAGATCAGCTGCTTCTGGATCAAGCTGGCGATATGATGAGAAATCTTGTAGTGATGAAGATAGGCGCAAATTATTCTTGTGTGCAGAGTTGACAAAACCAAACCCGTGGGTGGCATTTTTACTTGCCTGGGATGACAAAGCAGGTGACATATATGAAGCTGCAGCTGAATGTGTAGCAGATAGAACATTTGATGCACCAGATATTGCTTCTGCAATTCTACTAAATACCATTTCTTCTATTTCTCATAAAGATTAATAACCTTTCATTGGGCATATTTTGCCTACGTCAAAATTTAGAAAATATAATTTGTGTGCCTTGCCGCTTGCATACTAGCCAAGACAGCCAACATCAAACTTGCAATCTAATTCAATTCAACGATGACATTGATTTTGGCGAAAATGTCACTGTATCCACAGAGGCATCACAATATGACAGCCAAGCAGGTAACACCAAAGATCACGAATCCTAGCAGCCAAAATCCAATGATAAAATCAAATCGGTTGTGCATATATGAAATAAGTCGGCAAAAAAAGATATCTAAGTTCGAAACATTGATGAATAGGGCCAAACCAGAAACATATTAAGCAGCAACGTTTATTCAATTCTGGGGTTCTGCCTGAAACAAAAGATTGATGTTTACATTTGAAAAAGCCCAAAAATCGTTTATGGGAATTAAAAATCGAAAAGCAAATGTATCCATTCATCGAAGACGTTGATATGGGCAAAAGACAGATTGATCTTTAACAAATACATTATAGTAAAACTGAAGAACTAAAACCAAGTTTGAGGATCCAATAAAAAAAAAAAGACCCAAGTTTAAGGAATACCTACAGGGAAGAGTTGATATGAGTGTGGATTGAGATTGCGGCAGTTCCCCAGATCTCTGCCTCGTCTTCACAATCTTTACAAATAAATATATGAAAATACAACCAAAACTGTTTTATATTCCATGGTGCTGTCAGTTGGGGATTCAGTGTTTCAGATTCAATGGAAAACAAAGCGGTTTCTGCCTTTGGGTTTCTCCCTCGCTCCTTACTTCTTTCTTCTTTTCAGAATTTCTGGTTTTTTTTTTTTTTTTGTTAGTAATTTTTCAGTATTCTAAAATATTCATTTGCTGTGCCTGTATTTGCATTAGTTACCCAGTCTTTTTCCATATTTTCTACATTGACCCCTTCGTGTTGTTGTTAGTCAACTTTCCGTCACATCTGTTTTTCTCTTTTTTATCAAGTATTTTGTTTCATTTTTCCTTTTTCTCAAATCAGGATAAGTCTGCATTTTAAACAAATGGATCATCTCCCCTTTTAAGCACTTGCTGAATTTCTATATATAAATTAAAAAAATATTTACACATTATTTATAATAGTTTTTAATATTATTTACTATTTTTTATCATTATTTTAAAATTTTACAGTAGACAAAATTTTAATTTTTTTTTCTTTTGTGAGAAAAAAAAAAAGCAAGTCAGTTAGGTAATACGAGATGTTATGCATTAGTTTTTCAATAAATGATCTTAATATTTCTTAAAGGAAAAAAAAAAAAAAAAAAGTAACCGATGTAAATGATCCATTAAAGAAGAAAAAGAGGACGGAAAATTTTTCTTCTCAATTTTTGTAATAAAAGAATGAACTCTTTAATTAACTATAATTTCATTTATAAAAATGTTGGTAATATCAAGTTACATATGGTAGACTTTTTTAAAAGTATCATGTTTTAATTTAAATATTTATTTAAATGAATTGGATTGGCGTATAATTTTGATTTTATTTTATTTGATCATCATTTACCTAACAATCTACAGGAGGTATAAAGCGACCAAACCCTGCAACTTGCACTTGTTATATATACATAGATGAAAAGTTTGCATAAATCTATTGGCCGCTGATGGGAAAGTATCAATGAGCTTTATTGTAGTAAAATGTTGAGATTATTATTAACTACAAACCCTTGGATTCTTATAAAAATATTAATAAAAAAGGAAATGGGATTCTTTCTGATGCTGTAGAACAAATTAATACAGCTTAAAGGAGCAAACTTTAATCAATTTCTCTTTTGCTACCCATCTAAGTTGACGATATGCCGACTGACACTCGTTTGATCTTAGTAAATGTACCTGTGGGAAAGACTAAGGAGCTTATGGTAACTTTACATCACATCTGATCACACAGTTAATCACTGAATTTGGGTGATAGAGCAGATGGCCCCGAGAAAATGTGTCCTCTCTGGTACGGGTTCTTGTTAATTGATGCATCTTTGTGCATGAGGGGTTCGGAGGACCGATTGATGTGAGGCATCATGCCCATAGCTGTGTGTCTTTCTCTGTAGGATGCCCAAGTGACCATATATAGACCAGCAATTATAAGAAATCCCCCAATGACACCGTTACCACGCATGAAAGAAAACCAAATAAGTTCACACCAGCTATGGAGCAACAGAAATGAAGTAAATATAATTAAGCACTATATTTGTAATTGATGATAGATTAAGTTATAATTTGTAGTGGAAGATAAAACCTTCCCAAATAAATTGGACTTCCGAGGAAACTTCTTGACAGAAAGGCTGATGCTGCAGGTTGAAGTGGGTTATAGAGAGCAACTAAAGCAGGCCCCAAGATCTTATTCGACCATGTCAAGAGTCCGTAGTTAAGAGCAGATGCAACAACTCCCTGCAAAGCCAAACATCCATAGCTTCAGGTTTACCTATTTAGTAAGTAAAAGATTTTATTACAAAATAAGTACTGTAACAGGGAAAATATATCATTGTTACTTCCATGACGCCAAATGTTTTCCCTCCTTTTATTTGGTGACCAGCATCCACCATTGGTAGCTTCTAAAATCCAAATTATAGACCTCAAGGACAGCAAAAATCAGTTTAACCATACTTGGGCTTCATTTGATTAGTGTTTTTGCATTTTTTTTTTCCTTTTTGCCAAAAAAAATGCATAGAAAGAGAAAAGCAAAAGTAAAACATTTTGCAAAAACCAAGGTTACCCCTTCTACCATGAGCTTTCTTAATCTTTTCCTTATCGTAATCTATGTCTACAATATGCACTTTCCATTACTTTACGGAGCCTTCTCTAAGGGAATTGCCTTACCACCTTCTACGATAACTTTTCTTACACTTTTGTCTCTATAGTTTGGCCTGCACTTGCCTCAGTTTTGGTCATTAAATTAGCGTCTTAAGAATTGACCTAAAAAATTTAAAAACACTCATACAAACACACAAATCAAATAACATTTCAAACTCAGATAAAGCCACAACTTTGATAATGGCTAATCTTTTAATAACTTGACTTGCAAAACTTTTAAGATTGGAGATAATACAAAATCCACAAGAAACTTACAGCAGACAAGACCGCAAAAAGCTCAGACTGTGTCAGACTCCAGTCTGTTGACTCATTAGTCACAAGAAATGCTGTTGTTACCATCAATACAGCACCAAAAAAATAGGATAAAGCTGTCACAGAAATGTTGGCAGGATACTTGGCCAAAACTGGAGCCTGGAATTGTTAAAAACATTGAGTAGAATATAAGCAACTATTAATTATAATGAAATACACATGCAGAGTTCAAATTATAAAATAGTTACAAAATGATGAAATAAGTCAGCACTATTTTTTCATGAAATTTAGTATAGTTTTTGATTTTGAATATCTATAAGAATCACTCCCATTACTCCTTGTGAAAACCACTAAGCAAAAGGTAGAGTATAAATACATTAGTACTGTCCAAGCAAAGACAACCCGAAAGCACCAGGGATAGTTACTCCAAGATGTGATTAAAACATGCATCGCAAAGCAATGAAATGGACCTAAAGGCATTTCAAAAGCTGAAATTGAAACCAATGCCACAGGTATGATTAAAGAAAAAAATAGCTTCATAAAAATATTAGCTATAGACAAGATGAATCTAATTATGTAATCTTAAAGAAGGCATCGGATCACTAAAAATCTAATGAGTCACAGATCAAACAGGTCAGGGGACAAGTATGGCATATCAAACCTCAAATCATATTCATGACTGCACAGGCTATTTTCTCTTTATTTAGCTCAAACAGAGATTTCTGTTTGTTCCCTCCAGAAAATAAGATATGGAATTCAACCTACTAAAAGCAAAGAACAGCTTTTACGGGAAAAAAAAAAAAAAGCTTGCTCTGATTCATTTTGCATGATAATTATAGAAAAGGGGGGAAAACCTCCTATAGAAGACTAGTTAAAAGAAGAGATAAAAACGAAAATAATTAATAATCACCCAAAAATCAACCATTTGATGGCATACCTCAATGGCCAGGAAAGCAGCCATGCACATACAGTTCCCTATCAAACATAAAACTCCGATATGCCAATGTTCAAGTCCAAACTTGAGAAAACTAGACATGAACCACCCTGCAGGTTCCGGTTGCCCCCTGGCAGTTATGCCATTTTGTGCAGAAAAGTCTGTATCCGTTTGTCCAAGCAAAGCTGGACCACGAAAGAGAACCATTAACATTGCACCAGAAACACATATTAGGGTACCTCCAACCTTTGCTTGACCTTCAGTTTTGAGCATATTCACTCTTTCTGTACTGCATGTAGAATTTCACACAAATTATGGCAACAAGTAACAGACATCAAAATATATGCATGTGTTTATAAGAAATATAGAAATGAACCAATATAAAATAAAATTTAGAAAAAAAAAATATAAAATTTGTTGCCATTACCCCATCATTACAGCCAACAGAAAGGTAAAGACTGGAATTGAAGGCTGTATGGCAGCAGCATAAGTTGGATTTGTGTAGCTAAGACCAATGAGAAATAACAGCTGGTTGCCAAATATCCTATTCCAATTAACCAAAAGTCAGATAAGTTGGCTAGCAGGAAGTTTTAACACGAAAAATTTATGGGATAATATATAGCCAGATCAATTAGGACGGTTTAGAGAAGCAATACTCACCCAGTTAACCCAAGGAAGAAGAATGACAGAAGGAGGCGTTTAGTCATAGGAGGTCGAATCCTTCTGCAGGAAAGTGAAACAACATGGCCCAGAAGTTATATTTTCGATCCAAACGTCCAAAAAACCAAAAATAGGTTTACAATTGATATGCTTACAAAACAGAGATGCGAGATTAAAATTGATTAGAAGTGACAGGAAACAAACAAGCCAACTAAGGTAATCAATTTAGCTGTGGATACAATGCAGATCATCTTAATGAGAACAGATTGATAAATCGTCTAAGTATAAGGTCAATCACAATTTGGAAGAGTCAACCAGCACACCAAAGTCTCATATTGTGGAACCAAACATAAGAACCAAAAGAAAGGAACCCAATATCCAGAAAAAGAAATGGAAGAAAAAAGGTCATACTTTTCACGAACATAGGCGACGGGGGCAAGAAGAGAGAGAGCAAGAAGATCACGGAAGACGCAGAAGACAAGCTGGTTGACACCAACATCGAGGGCTACTTTGGTAATTACATGGTATCCTCCATTGATGAGTTGCACCAACACCATGAAGGCATGAGCTTTCCCAGCTTCTCTCTCGGACGCTTCTCCATTCATTCCTGCCATCTTCTTGCTTCTCACTCCACAGAGACGGCAGAATTACATTAAAAAAAAGTATATAAACGATTTTTTTTAAACTAAGAATTTTTGTTGATTTGGGTTAAGGGAGTGAGAGTATTGACTAACAACCTCGATAAAGTGGTTGGTTTTGATTCATATAAGGTAACGAAAAGGTGTCTAAAAGGGAAACAACTTTGGAGGTTGCAATAAGCCTCTTACCGCTTGTGCTTAGATATTGTTATTGCCTTTGGGTTTGTCGTTCTAGTGCTTATTGTAATTTTGCAAAACTAAATACGTCTTTTTCTTTTCCTTCATTCCTTCCATGCTAACCAAACCTCAAAAACACGTTTTAGATCCGACACTCATTAAAGTTAAAGAAAAAAAAAACAGTGAATTATGATTCATATCCTTTTAATGTGACTAGGTTTTGATTATGTCTATCACGCCAATTATTTATTACTATAATTTATTAACTAATTAATATGCACTTCATTGCTATTTTCCAAAGGATAAAATCTATTTTTTGTAATTAAATTTAATGAATATTAAAAAAGAAATAAATTTTCTCAAAAAAAAAAGCATTCTGCTACTTCTGGGCCAAAAAAATAGTAATAGAGAAGGTTTTTCAATTGGGCTTTTGGTTTAAGTGTTGAGAAGCAGCAAAGAGAGGACTTGCTATGGGTTTGTAAACTGTATATGTACAACTCTCTCGGCTTTCAACGGTGGCCTGCGGGGCCGAAGCTATTGTCGATAAGAGAATTTGACAATCCAACCATAAATTGAAGATAAAGACAATGCCTGGCTCTTTATTTTAAAATTTTTTTTGTAAAAAAAAATTTTAAAATAAATAAATTTTTTAATTTTTTAAATCAAAATAAAATATATCGTATTTAATAATTTAAAATAAATAATTTAAATTGTGCATTCGAAATAATTTTAATAAACTATTAACAACAAAATTTGAACTTAAAATTTTTTCGTTAAAAAAAATAAATCTTAATAAATTAAACTTGTTGGTAATTTTTATTTTAATTTATTTCACTTTATGTGAAACTCAAACCATGTTGTGAATTCCTAATCCAGCATTTATAGTTTTCCCTTTCACAGTTACATCCCTTCCGTCCACATGGGTTTTTCCTTTTGTCATTATATCACCGTGTCATGATGTTGAACTGTGCAACTTGCAATCAACTGTTGTTTTTTTTCCTCCCTCAAGTTTAAGGTCCTCATTCCTGATATTATATGGATAAGGTTTTGTTTTTCCATTTTAGCCAAAACACAGAGAAGGATATACAAAATCCCAGATTTTCTCGCCACATTTTTTTTTTTATTTGAATTGAAGGCTTTGGGTTAGATTTTAAAGTTCTAAACCATTTTTCCTTCCTTTTGTTTTCCTTTTAATCCTAACAAAAAAGTTGAGTCGGAGATATTGTAATGTCTTTCACATTATTCCACTTGAGTTACTTGTCGCAAATGCACGCACTGAAAAGGACTTTTGTTCCAATTGGTGTTGACATGACCAAATAACTGAGTAAGCGAAACTGCTGTTTAAAACTTGTTCCGAAAAGCTGAAGATTCTGAAATCCAAGACAGGTAAAAGATGGAAAATGGAGAAAACAACAACAGAGAGATTGATGCTAGAATATACGAACTGTTTAAATGCTATCAACACAGATTTAAAGAACAATTCCAATTGGAAAAGTGAACACAAGTTCAGCATAACCAGAGTTCTATACCATTTCACAAAACAAAGAAGCATAGACCCCTGTCATCAACACATTCATCCATCATCAAATAAAGATACATTGATACAATAATTGTTTGTTTATTTGGAAAATAAACCCTCTAACTTATACTAAAGAACATCAAACCGACACAAACAGTTTCTATTACTTGCCGGGCGTATCTCTTTGATTTTTTACATTTTTTTTAATGATATTGTGAAAAAAATGGAAGTAAATATTCTCCAGACCCTCATATTCCTAAAATGGTCCGTATTTGATCTGGAGGATGCCTTGCCAGTGATTTGGGATCTGGGTAACTGTTTTCAGGATCCATGATTGCATTGTAAATAAGCTCATAAGCATCAGCCAGTGACCTAGCTACCTGTATACATGCATCGGAACGCAACTTTGGAACTTGCATCTGTTCAAACTCGGGCAGGGAACTCTCACTTCCCAAAATAAACCCAAAGAAAGCCTTCAAACACTCTGAAAGAGAGGCTGGACTTGTGTCTTCTAATTCTGCCAACGGTGCTGTGGCTGTTGTATCCTTGTTAAGTGAATTATGGAAGTGATGCATCTTCATTGACAAGCCACATCTTCTAAGAACTCTGTCAACTTCTTTTTCCACAAGATCATGCACATGATTATCAATCATCGTGCCAAGTTTCTTTGCATATTCAGCTGCAACCTCATGTCCAAGTAATGGTTGTTGAATAGCACACAAGCAGTTGATAAGGAAGATCTTGGATGGGGCTTCGCTATTCTGCATATATCCATGATATGAAGAGTAAAAAAGAAGAAAAGAAAATTATAGAAAGAATTCAACAAGTTTAACCCTAGAACCATGCATGTAAAGTGTATGACAACAAAGAAACAAAAGATCAAACTGATATACAACTTAATTAACCTGAGAGAATGTAGCAGAATTGTTATTTGACAAAATTGCATCAACTGCAGATTTACTAAGCTGGCCTGAGTCAGAACTCATTCGACTTCTTCTTGATGAGTGGCCAGCTCCCTTTGATTTGTGTGCCTCTGCTGCTTGCTCACACATCTGCATTCCATCAAAGGTAATAGTTAATATACTGTACAGAAACCAGAAAGGAGACTATATTTGTCCTGATTTCAGCTCAGCATAGAGTTTTGACTTCCAAATTCCAAAGCTGTGAAGGCAATCTGAATGAGGTGTTAACCATCCCAAAACAGCAAGCACTAAACATTGTAAGGTTCAGTTTTCGAATGCTACACTCGTTTGATAAAATGAGGAACATGTGTAAATTATACTTCAGCACCATGCAACCAGGGAAAAATGATCATAATTATGCAATTGATCAACTAACATCAAACATGACACACCTGAATAATTGGGTCAAGTAAAGCAGATATAACTGGATCAAAAGCTGGCTTTTTCCCTGAAGCAGGAACCATCATGCTGTTATATGTTTCAATTATCTCAAGCAGCACAGAGACTCCTTCCCTTACAGCTGGTGGTGGTGAAAGATCAACAGCAACAAGGGGAGGATATCGTAAAAGCTTTTCCCCACGACTTTTCAGAATTTCAAAGAACGTTTTCTGAGCAGCATCTTTGAGTGCCCAAAGTGTATTGCAAAGAGATGTTTGTCTCCCTAGTAAATCTGATATCTGTAAGTAAGCAAACAGATAAAGTTATCAAAAGATAACAAGTAAATCATATACAAACAGGATATCAGAAGAGACAGAGGTCACTCACAGTGTAACTGTAGAACTCCAGCGTGTTACTGAGTTTATAAGAAATTATAAGACTAGGTTGTGACTGTAGAACTTGCTCAACTCTAACTTTAAAAGGCCGGCAAACTCCTTCAAAAATTCTATCCAGAACAAATGTCAAGTCTGCTTCAATTTTTCCAGAATCATTCTCCACATTCTTGGAGAATCGGTTTGCAGTTGATCCAGCATCTATCAGTGCATCAGGATCAAGTAAAGCAAGCACAAGCTCACGTTCTGATGCCAAGGCCTGCAGAGTAAGACAATAAACAAAATTAAATGTTTACTGTAAATAACAAATAATTGCATGAAGAAGAGAAGCAGAAACCATATAAAAGCCCTTTCTCCAAACCTGATGTAACCATCCTAGCATGTCTCCAACATAACGTAAGGGATCATGAGCATGCACTTCTATTGGTCTTGGCATCCCACCTGGTCCTCCACGAGTAAGAGCACTTATAAACCTTCTAAATAATGCATTATGTCTCATATTTGCTACCTGTGATTAGCAGAAGCAACAACTTAATAACATGCAACTAGAAAAACCACAAGGCAGTGGAGTTATTGAACATTAAATTTTGATCTCAATTAAGTCACCTCTTCAGCACAATACTTAAAAAGGACAGGCCTTTCCTTGAGGCATTGCACAGCTGTTTTCAAAAGCTCACTAACTTCTGGATTATCCGTGTCACCCAGTTTCCTACACTCTGCTTGAACCCACCTGCAAAACGGACAAGACATGTCAACCAACTTATCCAACAATTCTGAAAATCTCCTATATGTCTTATGTTGTGTTGAGTGGAGAATCCCACACTCACAACCACAGCCAACAGCCACCAAAAGCCAATGAATCTAGTAAATGAAGCACCAATATTTCACACTTTCATAAGAAATAAAAGTATGAAAAGGAAAAGACTGGAGGATGGAGGACAGTAATTAACAATGAGTGAACCATAAGAGATTTTTACTTTTGGCACATTCCTAAACTCCAAACTCTTAAAAGATATCATAGTGCATTACTTAAGTCCATCTCATTGGGACAATAGTTCTATCATTTTATAAATACTTCACCTGCATAGCCGCTCATAAGCTCCTTCTTGGTACATAGCCATCATATCCATCAGCTCCAAACCAGCACGCTGTAATGGATTCTCATGTTAGTGATTGTTTTAAGCATTTACTTTATTAACGGAAATTGAAACAAAAGTAATGGATAAACAGAAGCAATTGACAAGCAACAAAAAGTAAGCATGTGAAACAGCATTATGGGGGAAAAATATAATACAGAATCGGCACTAAATTTGTAACTTGTCTTATAATCCAAAAGATGTCAATGGCTGATGTGGAAATCATAGTCATACAACTAAAAGTTCATATGCAGATTACGTAATATATAACTAACCTGGTGATGTGTCCTTAGAAGTATTTTGCAATTGGCATGAATTTCTTGAACATGAGAAAGTGCCTTGAAGAAATTTTCATTCAACTCTTCATCTCTCAGCGCATTGATCTAGAAATGGAGGAAACGAATATAATGAATTCAAAAAAGGGTGTCAATAAGTATAAAAGCTAAAACAAAAAGGGTTCAGATTGAAAGTTAACCTCTTGAGGAGAAAGCTGATAATCTCGAAGGAAGCATGACACTATCTCCTGCTTTTGAGTGGTAACTTCAAGTTCCTGCTTCAACCTCTCGGTGGTATTGATAATATCACCGGTGGCAGCACTGCAACTGCTCAATGCCTTTGCAATCCTGTCAGATTCGAGTGAATTTTCTATTAATGGGAAAATGGAG